GGTTTCATATAAAATCTTGCTATTTTTAATTTCTCAATGTATACGAAATGAAAAATGTTTACGATTAATAAAATTGGGTTATGGAAACCTTGGCACATTCCCGATATACTTGCGAATCGCGTTGCTTATTTGTTCACTATATAAACGATAATCTAAAATTTCTTATTTAAAATGCTAACCTTTTAAATAAGAAAAAACTGAAAAGAACATACAAATACTAACAAGATATTTTCTACTATAACTTCAAATTTTTTTAATGAAAATTAAAGTAAAAAAATTACTTACTAAAGTTGATCTAGATCAAACTTCACACACACAAACATTTTTCACACAACAAAACACAACGAATTGTACGCACAACTCGTACGCATGCCGCGAGCGACTGATCCACGCTCGCGCTCCTATCACGTGGATAATCTTGTTAAATTTAATACATAATTAAAAGGTCTAGTTTCCTATTATTAAAGAATGTTTGTTATGTTTTTACATGAGTGTAATACTAAAAATGTGTATTCTTATTGTACGAAAATATAGTAACAGTCAGTCTGAACTAATTATCTTTTCAAAATTATTCAAGCCTATTTTTTTTTTTGATACAATATACATACAGTCAAAATCTGTTATAACGACATCGAATGAGGAATACTTAAATGATCCTAATCCTTGGGATTGATTTGCTCCAGTTCAAACAATTTGTATAACAATACTTGACGATTAAAAAGAGAGGCGGAAAGTTTCTTGCCAGTTCTTCTTACCCGCTGTACGCCTTTGTGTTCTGAACTGGTAGTAAATGTAAATTTACAATTAATTTAACTTCTTTCTGACAATTCATAAGTGTACTTGTTTACCTACATGAATAAAGATATTTTGAGTTTGAGTTTGAAGGGACAACTCATATTTGGTCGTAAAAACCGATAGTCGTAACAGCCGATGACGTTATTTTTAAGTACCTAATACAATATAATTCAACCGGGACTTTTGATTTTGGTCAATATAACCTGTATGTTGTTTTAAACGATGTCGTCGTAAACGGTTTTGACTGTACATATGTATATATTTTTGTAAATTTCATGTAACAAAAAAAACTTCATTATGAATTAACTTTATAAGACTAAAGCGATTATAAACCTATTTTGTAATACATAATGAGTAGGTGCGCATGCACAATTTGACGAATTAGTGACAACAATCACACAATTCATGCATTCATATTACGACATCCTGTCGAATGATAGGCCATGTGTGCCGCCTGAGCATTTCTCACGACGTCTTTAATCATTCCCTATTAGTGGCATGTTTCCATCCAATTCAACGCCTTAATCAACATTTACATTCGTTTCGTGTCTGCGGACATTAATCTAATTACGTATCGCGTGACAATCGCAAGCGGGTCATGGTATTGTAGGAAATGTTGCTCAATTTATATAGTATAATTAAATTAGGAAAATTAAGGTATCAAGGTCATTTGGTAATTGGGGCAATGCTAATAAAAACCGATGTCACTAAAGAGCGTGAAGCGCCAATCGATACCTACTGTTCTCATTTAACGCGTCACGCTCTCCCTATCACCTGAAATAGTAAGACCATAAAGTTTCAACTCACCGAGACTTTACTGTGTTCGTAGTGATGTGCGAGGTGCATTGGCGCGCAGCTGGATGCAGCGCTGGACACGCTTAACGCATCACCTTCGCTTGTTCCCTCAGCCTCGTCCCAGCGCCGGCGAGACCCACTGTGAACACCCACCAACCCCGAACCATGCTCAAGCGAAGCAAGCGACCCAGACCCCGGAACACCACTATCCCCGCAATCGGATGAAGAATCAGAATCGATCAAAACCCCACTCTCTGACTTGGAGGATGACGTATCCAGTTTACTGGACTCTTCCTCGATCACATCGATAGCCTCATCGCTCCTTTTGACGAGAGCATTACCAAACCTAAACGAGTTACTATGCTTCCACGGCCGTTTGGTCGTGCTTACGTCAGACTTTATTGTCTCTGCATCAGAACTTTCTTCATCCGATTGCAAAGTACCATCGGAACCATCGTCCGATGATGATTCGTCCAAGCATGTTTTGTATGATGCATCCGACTTAATTGTGATATTTGAATTACATGATTGCAATGACCAATGACCAGAGTGTTCCGAGGTTGATTTTGTTAGCGGTAAACGGTCTGAAGCAGACAGAGATTTAGAATCGATAGATGATCTAGTAGATTTTAAAGAAATTACATCAGATATGTCTTTGATGGAATACGGTCTATCAGTGGAAGAGAGAGATGTATGCGGTGACATTTCAACATAAGTGAAACTTTCACGTGTTTTTGATTTATTTCTATCTATAATATCTTGTAAAGTGACTACAGCATAGGGTTCTTCTAAATTCATTGGTACTGATTTGTTTTTTGTTAAACCACCTGATTGTCGTGTCAAAGAAAGAGTACCTAGCGTGATATCTGGTGTTGATAAACTTCTTTTGATAGCAGAAAACTTAACGATTAAATCAATGGGCGATTCACGTTTACTTGCATGTAAAGAGCACTGTTCCGAATCACAGAAACATCTAAATGAAGAATTCACAATCTCAATTTTATCTTTTAATGCCGCCGTGTCAATTGTAACTATATCCTCGCTTTTTGGTGCAATATCTAATAAATCTTCTGCACTGCTGTGAAACTTGGGAGGTTTAGGCCTACAAAAGCATATTGCCGTTTCAAAATAACTATCCCTTTTCTTATTCGAACCAGTAGAAACTGTGCCAGTCTCTAAAGTGTCTTTATTAAAAATCGAAATAAATTCTTGAACAGTAGGTGCGTTGTAAATGCAGTGTCCCGTTCCCCTAATATGGTAGTGAGCTAATGTTTCTTTTAGGAATTCATTGGACCATTTTGGTAGATCTTTGACGTTTACTGAATTTCTATCCACTTCAATATTTGTGAAGGTCTTATGTCTAAATAAAACCTTTTTCTTAATAGTTTTGTCTGTTTTCTTTGAGGGTAATGTACCAGTCATGGATAAATATAATGCTCTGTCATCTGCATCACCACTACAATCGACATTTTCAATGGCACTTGCCTCAGTAATGTCGGAATAATCTGAAGCATTCGATTGAGTTCTATTAATACTGGATCTTGATTCTTTACGGATTAAGACTTTCTGACCATGACGAAAAGATTTAGATTTTTCTGAAAGTAAAATATCTTCTAAATTCGTTTCATCTATCATAGAATCAGATGATGATGACAGTGTGGACGACCTACTAACACTGGGTGATGATTCAGTGGATTTCTGGGGAAAATATGTTCTTTTTGGGGGTTCGGGGGCTTTTCTAACTGGAATGATTATGTTTTCGTACAAAGTGGGTTTATTAGAAGAAACATGAAATTCTGTATTCGGGATATGAGTCCTTTGTGCCGGTTTTGGCGGAAGAGTGTTATTTTTTTCTAAATAAACATTTTCATAAATAGTTTCAGTCGTGACCGTTTCAGAGACATTTCTCGGCGGGGGTTTGGGTTTTGATAAAGAATTTATTTGTTTTATTTCTTTAGATTCAACAACGGCAGAATGGGTTGAAAATTCGTAGGACTCATAACATTCGTTTACTAAATGAGCCGACTCTACAGACGTGTTAGAAATTACTGACTTTCTATTACTTTGAGGTCGAGGTTCAAAAATATCTTGGTTAGCAACCGGATTTACAGCTTCTACCACTTTTACTTTATCTGAACTATTATCCGCAGCAACTTTGGCCTCGGGGATGGATTCTCTTGAATCGCTTAGTTCATTATTTTCCGATATATTTGGTAAAGAGGTTTTAAATCCTGGACAACTTCTATTACTTCGATTTACCGTTGAATCTCTATTTAAAATACCAACTCTATCTAAGGATATAGTGTCAAATTCGTCGTTGCAATTTATTTCACCAGACTCCTCTTTCTTTGACAATTTCTTAAAAAACTTGCTATTGCCAATATGCAAAGCATTCGATGATTTTACTTCAGACTTTGATTTAATATCTACATTCGATTCAGAGATGTTAGTGATATTAGGCGCAGAGTTAAACTTTGCTTTAAAGCTTAAGCATTTAGAAGCAAGCTTTTTGACGAAACTCTGGGATGGATTACGGGTTACAAGTGATGAAGATGAAGTTGTTAAGCTAGTATTTATATCTTTCTGGGTCTCTGGGGCTGTCCTGTAAAACATAAAAGCAACAAAAAATAAATTTGGGATACAACAACACTAAAAAAAATAAAACTAAATATCTACCGCCACTACGTTAAAAATAATTTATATACAATTATATTAACAATAATTGTCCAAATTGAGATTTGACGAAACATTTTAATTTCCTCTAACTTTCTAAAGCCTTTGTTAGATCAGAAATTCTTTTAATGGTATCATTTTCAAAGTAAAAGTGTACGTTTCGTTTATATTAATTTTGTTTGAATGTACTATCTCAGTCGGTCCTTTGCCCGCCATCAAAGGACGGCACTCTTTATCTGGTGTACAAACTCGTACCTGACCGTTTTCTAGGCAAAATCAAAGGGATGGAAGATTTTAATGAGACGCGCATTGAGTTTTTGTTTTGCATCCTTTTAAGAAGTGCTATATACAATTTTAACGATTGTACGCTCGTTTTTAACAAAAATGAATCGCGAACAATGTGTATTTTGTTATTTAAAATAATGATACAGTTGAATAATAAAGTTCCAGAAGCTATTAAAATGTGGGTCATGATTTTGAATCCGTCGTTAAAATTGAAGTGAAAAACACATCCCTAAGACAGCAATCAGAGGTTCAAAGGTGACACGTAGTATGTTATAATTGAGATGCCTCACTCCAATTAAAACTGAATATTTAGACTCTAAAGAGCTTCAAGTAATTAGAGGGAAGGATTCCTTTGCCGTTGATAAAACGCATTTAATTTAAACGGATAACTTTATATGTCAAATGTTATACATGCAATGTTAGTGGGTTAACAAGCAAAACAAAAATACATTTTACAGCCGCCCCAAGATTCTTAAGAGGTATTTTAACGAGAAATTAAATTTCATACAAAAATCGTTCTTTCAAAAGATAATTGTTATATAACATGAATGTATTACACGATGTAGTTTTGTATATTAGGTCCTTACATATGAAATTGGCGTATTTCGTACTGGCCACTTTAATCACGATGTTCTCCTCTTTGGTAAGGAATTCCAAATTCAAATTTGTACAGCTATTTACTCATGTATTTGTGCTTCGATGACCGTCATTCATTTGTTTTTTTCTGTTTGCGTCACTCATTTTACAAAATGGAAAACTTAAAGTATCGCATTATTTACGAGTACGAGTTCCGCCGTGGCACTAGTGCTGCGGAAACGACTCGAAGGGTGAATGATGTGTATGGCGGTCATGTTGCAAAAGAAAACACAGTTCGTTTTTGGTTCCAACGTTTTTTTAGTAAAGGGATCAATAAACTACCTATGAGATGGCAAAAGTGCATAGAAAACAATGGTTCATACTTTGATTAATTAATTATATTATATTTAAAAATATTCGAATTTTTGTTCCTCCCATACCAAACGCCAATTTCATATGTAAGGACCTAATATTTAGATATTTAGGGTAATTATATTATCTATCTTTGTATCTTTCTACATACTTAAGTAAAATGTTCGGCTGTTAACAAAATACTTTCTTACATAGACCTTAATAACAGTTTGATTAGAAAATTATTAATTATCATGTATTTTCTTATTACAAAATTAATAATACTTACATGACGAGGTGCTGGGGATAGCTCGTGGGACTATTGTCTTGCACCGGAAATGGTGGAAAATCATCTTCACTCTCGTAGTTATTTCGAGCCATACTTTCGTATTCTACAAAAATAATAACTAAGTACATCAAAGGAATTAACTAGCAGATATAATGTGACAATAATTTCAAAGAACCAGCTACCTCTATACCTAATTTATTCACTTAGACTGCTGCAAAACCTATTTTACCAATTAGGTAATAATAATAAAGTGTTGGCGTAGTGGCTTCAGCGTGCGACTCTCATATTTGAGGACGTAGCTTCGATCCCCGGCTGTGCACCAATGGACTTTCTTTCTATTCATTTAACATTCGCTCAAACACAGGAAACATCGTGAGGAAACCGGCTTGCCTTAGACTCAAAAAGTCGACGACGTCTGTCAGGCACAGGAGGCTGATCACCTACTTGCCTATTAGATTGAATGATCATGAAACAGATACAGAAATCTTAGGCTCAGATCTACAAAGGTTGTAGCGCTATTGATTTATTTATTGAATAATAATAAAATAAAAAAAAAACAAAAACACGAGTGATTAAAACAAAATACACTTTAGATTCCTACTTAATCAGTTGAAAAATTGTAAGAAACAGTATATATCATACCTTTTATGTCAGATTTCAGTCTGTCAAAAATTATTCTACTCACAAACGTACCTCGTATAACCCTTCTGACTCTTCTTGTGGCTTCCTCCGAATAGTCCGCTAGAAGATCTTCTACTGTCTTCCCTCGGCCGTCTAACGCTCTGAGATCAGCGCCCTTGGCTAACAGTATTCTTACTACAGATGCCTTGCCGAAACAGGCCGCGTCATGGAGCGGTGTACCAGAGTTTGTGCGTATGTTCGGGTCTATGCCCGCTGCCAGCAAGACTTGGACTACCTCCCTGGAGAAAAATGATAAGTCAGACATAACAGCTTAGTAACTACCTTTAGTAAGTTAAGTCTCATAACTTCATAAAGGGGCAGGAATCTCCGTGGATAATCAGCTTTCCTTTATTTCCTGTTCCTGTAGTCTTGACATATATCGCCGATTTTTAGGTCTAAGGATCAGATTCTGAGTCAAGGCTAAGCGCTAATGTTATCCCGTAAAAAAAAAATGCGCACGCTCAATCATATAGACGTTAGTAAGAAATGTTATAAGACTAGCTGGCTTCGCTCATCACTTCGTTCAACTTAACGAAGGTGAATAAAGAATGAATGCGTAATTATCTTTGCACGATTTTTTTTATTAAAGCATGTAAATGACAACGCAATAGGCACCCTTACATCCTATGTTTTGTATCTTGTGCTTCAACTGAGATAATTGAAGATAAACACTTCTTAAATATATACACACAATATTACAAAAATAAAATAGTGAGTACAGTATCAGAATGTACTACAAATATTAATTACCAGAATTTAATAAATTAACCAACAATATAAAAACTTTGAATAAACAATTCCAACATTGACAATTGATATCGATGACAATGAATATTTATGAACTGTGCTAACGAATCCATGGCATTGTAAATTTTAAAACGCCTGCTGGAAAACAGTTCTATATCGTGATGTGATATAGAGATAGATATGATGAAGATCATTTATCGTTATTAAATGCCTTGATTTTACGCAAATTGCGTATTTAATAAAGATCAATAATTCAAATTTTTCGCTTCAGCCAGGCCGCTTATATGCCGGCAACGCACTTGCGAGCCCACTGGCATTGAGAGTTTCCATAGGCGGCGGTATCACTTAACATCGGGTATGCCCGTTTTCCCCCTGTTATATAAAAAAAAGGATAATAAACCTAATTAATAAGTAATTTCTCGACTTGCTTTGTCAACCTGTTAGTAATTAATTGGTCGTTGTCATAACGAAATTTTAAGCCCCAACTTTTTAAACGACATGGAATGGTCAAACTTTTACTTATTCATTATTCCCAGCAGAAAACAGCTATTAAAGCCATCCAGAAAAAAATATTTCGATTGTTTTATATCCAATGATAATATTTATACCCCAAATTCATACAAACAAAATCATTGCAATTACTCTTTTGAATATATCTTTCATCTCTTTCTGATCAATTGCATTTACGCTGTGATGAAAAGAGTAAGGCAATTTAGTTAAACTGTGCAAATAGGTAGGTTATTTGCTATATTTAATTAGCTAACGGTACTGTATTAAATGTATTAAATAGTGTGCGATAAGATAAAAAAAACATAATATTTGATAAAAACTTGAATGTACATACAAGATGGTCAAAAAGTCGTGGATCAAACGTAGCCAGGGGATAGATGAGGTCATCCGCTGCAAAAAATTTTTCTACGGGAGGTCCCTAAGCTCAAACACTGCAGAGTTATAATTTATTTTGGGTTTTTATAAGAAAATTGACTTCATTTACTAATTCTTATCAAAATTCGAAAAAATCTACATCCTGAATCTTTTTCATTATATCCACTGGATTGGTACTGATGAGTCCTTCAGTTAGACATACTATTTATTGTCGTTTATTGAGTGTATTGAAGATAATATTAAGTTATACAATATATTTTTTTTTTCGAATCATAACTTTTTGTTTACTTCGGACCCACCCCACTGTGAAAAAAAAATACTCTACCGAAAAGTGACCCTGTATTACAAGTTTTGGCGCTTTAATAGGGATTCTGAAAAGGTATTACACATGGCCATGAGTTGAGCTTAGGGACCTCCCGTAGAATATTTTTTTTGCAGCTGATGACCTCATCTATCCCCTCTTTGCGTTTGATCCACGACTTTTTGGCCACCCTGTATACCTTTTTGCACAATAAACATTTTATATGACAAACGGCCAGGAGGCTGAACTAATATCAGCACTTCAATAGTGTATAAGAAGCGTCATTAGAGTTTGACTATTGTATATATTATATCTTGTCCGCTAAACTACTGAACCGATTTCAATCGAATTTGCAGACCGTGTGCAGTTTGATCTAACTTAAAAGATAGGATAGCTTACATCTTAATTTATACCCCCGCGATATTATTTTATTGCAAATTATTTGTTTATTATTTGACAGTCACAATTCTAATTGCTGTCGCTGTGTTGAAAGTAGGTACCAACGTTTCACATAAGCTACAATTTAATGGAATTACCACCAAAAAAGCATGGTGGTCCCCATGACTAGTGTTCTACTGTTTCCCTTGAATAGTTTACTACTATGTAATATAACAAAAACCTTAGCCACTGCAACGCTTGGCCGAGCCTGCTAGTATACTATAAATATCTAGTATATTTATACTGTATATTATATGTAATTATGTGCTAGGCCGAGGTAATCTCTTAGGCGTCTACTACGTCTCTTTATTGGTCGACAATGTGGAAAATTGACAGCCAACGATGTACGAAATGGCCGATATTGCTGGTGTATGATCTGACACCTTAAAATTCGACCAGGTTCTTTATAGACCTTTACAATTATTATAACGTGTTAATGAAGCTGTATATGTGTTGCGGGTCTTATTAATATCCATGTTTTCATCATCAACTTACGGCCAAAACCAATGCTATCAATCCAATTCTTAGCTGTCATAGACCATTCATCCCTAAAGAAAAGCTGCCAATATTCAATACATGGACTGAGATACCAATCATTATTCAACCATCGTTCAGAGGGCGGATAAGAGATTGAAGTGCCCTCTGTATGAAAATGAATGTTTACTCATGCCAACAACCTATCGTCCATTTTGACAGTTACTTTTATTGGCCAAATCAATCTCGGTTGCTTCGGTGAAACTCGTTGTTTGGGTTTGGGTTGCGCCAACTTAATATTCATTGGGAAATTTATTCATCTTCGTCTCTCCAGTTCTGTGTAGTGTTTGGAAGTTTAAATGCAATTATCCGATTGGGTGTAATTCTGGCTGGAAGAAGACACGTACTTCTGTGCGAAGACATGAAGACAAATTTATTATATCCAGGCCAGAATGACGCCTTCCTTAGATTTAGGTTAAATAAGAAGCTTTGGAGACACTTTTACACAAAGTGATTTCTATATCTGACTTCATTGCGGTTTCTCTTTTCTCAACTTTTGTAAAAAAACATTAAATATTGCTCAACCAAAACTATTTGTTACTATAGATACTCCTACTTACTCCACTCCAAAACCTCAAGACTCCGCAGAACATCTTTATAGCGAATCTCAAATACGAAGCAGTATGTGGTGGAAAGGAAAATGGTTCCCCAAAATCGGTTTGTCAAAAAAGGTTTTTTTAAGCCCGTTACAAACCGTTTGATTGCAGTGTTGCACAATGATATGATACCAAACAAAACAAATTGTTATATAAAATGTTGTTAAGAATTTCAATACGAATTTCTTTTTCAATTATTTTACTAATAATATATTTAGATGAAAAATAGTCTCCGGCGAAATAAGGCTGCTGCCTCGAACATATGTTTGGGTTTTGCCCCAACTCGCCGCCAGCGGGGCGCGCGGCCGGGGCTGCGCAGCGCGCGACGAGCGGGCGATTGCACCTCCGTTACCACTCCCGTTACCCGCCCTCGCGCTAAACTCCAAGACAGTATTTAGATTAGCTAGGTTGAAACAATATTTACAAGCATGCTACGTCATCGACAATTCAACTAATCCGTGAACGTCACGTGATTGACAAAAATAAATTGAATTTTTTGATAAATCAATTAATATTTTAAAGTTATTTTGGTCCATAAGGCTTTATAAAGTCATGTAAAGATAACTCACAATAACTTTATTTTTCATACCCAAACCAACTGTTTTAGTTTAAACACTTTGAACAAATATTAACATTCAAAGTCAAAGTCAAAATCATTTATTCATATTCAATGTACACGTATGAACGTCAAAAAAGAAATATACATTAAATGCTTCTAATTTTACATTTACTGCCAGTTCTCAAATCAAGGGCGTAAAACGTAAGAGAAGAACTGGTAATTAACTCTCCGCCACTCTTTTTTATCACTTTATTCATCGACGAACATCATATAACAAATATATTTCCTATAACTTCTCCTACATTCAATGACAAAACAAATGCAACAAAAATCCATGTACACAACAGGGACACGGGCACGTCCTTATGTATTTGGAGATTTGAACAACGATGCCGCATCCGAATTTCATCTATCGTTCGAATCAAATTCGTAGAGAAACCGATTGGAGCGCGATAACGAACGAATGAATATGAATATGCGACACTGTGTACCCGACTTTACATTAGCATGCATTAATATTCAACTGTAAATAGTCGCTCAAATTTACAGCCACAATAGTGTCGTTTACGAAAACTGAATTCATTGTAATCTTTAATGTTTAAAGAACTTTATTTCTTATTAAACAAAATGTGTACGTGTACTAGGTGTACACACGTAAGAAGTGAAACTTCTTTATGACCTTATTTTTCGAAAAATGATCTTCTCTATGCAACTTTACAGAAATTGGTTAAATAAAGTCAAATTAGATAAAGTTTAACAAAAGGCTTTTATTATCATAGACATGAATACAAATACAATTATTTAATTTTACCTTATTACTACTAAGATTATTACAGAATTTCAATAATTGTAATAGAATTATTACTATCATAGTTACTGTTATTATATATTTTTGTTATTAATGGCTTCGAATCTCTTCGGATCAACTGTGGTAGGGACAAGAAAAAGATGGCGCGTAACCGAAAAATGTGACGATTTGCTACAAAATTTCTCCCATACGTCGAAAAAGAAGTTTCACTTCAAAAAAAATTTTTTTTACATGAGAAACTTTATACCTTGTTCGTATACAAGATACACGTCGCCATCAGCCGTCCCAATTTTAGTCTACTAGGCTCATTCCGATATGTATCTTTAAGGCCCTTTTGAATTGGTTAAACGCGCTAATATTACGAATTTTATACGGTAAATGATTAAATAATTGCACACCCTCTACTTAAATAGACTTCTTCAAATAATTTGTACGCGGCTTCGGCAAGATAAGCAAACTCGCTCGACGAGTATTGCGTGTATTGGTGTGTTTGATTTTTATTAATGATAAGCTACGATGGAGAGTTGTTTAATTTTTTTTTATTACGATACAAGTGCTATAAATATATATCGACATTTATCAAAAATAATTACAAATAAACGATCCATACAAGTCATAACTTAAATACACTTGCTCGATCTAAATAATACAACCTAGATTAAGTAAGTTTTTACAAAATACTTACTTGTGTCCATTCTTGCTAGCTCTGTGCAAGGGTGTGGAAGAAAAGGACCTGACCTTCCAATTCGGGTACTTGTAAGGTTGAACCAGCATAGGCTGGACTCGCAACAGGTGCTGGACGGTTTCCAACCTGTTACACAATCCATAAAAACATTTAACATTTATTTTTGTCTGTAATTATTTTAAGTACACCCAGTAAAGGACGATAATCAAAAACGCAGTTCTAACCAGCTACCATCCAAAATGTGAAAAACCTATCTTGATTATTAGATTGGAATAATGCCATCAAAACATAAAAAATAAATCAGTGGCGCTACAACTTCTTTAGGTTTGGGCATCAGATTTCTGAATCTGTTTCATGATCATTTTTAAATTTAATAGGCAAGTAGGTAGATCAGCCTTAGTGCCTGACAGACGCCGTCGACTCCTTTTTTTGGGTATAAGACATGTCGGTTTCCTCCCGATGTTTTCCTTCACCATTCGAGCGAATGTTAAATGCGCACATAGAAAGAAAGTCCATTTTTGCACAGCCGGGGATCGAACCTACTACCTCAGGGATGATCGCACACTGACGCCACTAGGCCAACACAGCTCTCTTAAGACATTGCTCTATATAAAATTAGTATGAGTCTTAAATTCTGTAATAATAAAAATTACAGAATTTAAAATAAAACTCATGCAATGATAAATTTTAGATACGTAGTCAAATCACTTACAATTTTATTAGTATAGATTACGATAATAAAAACATAACTTGTAAAAAAATAACTTGTAAAAAACCAAGTCTCGCAGTTCTCCTACCGTAAAAAGTTGTGAGATCCACATACGAAGTCGATTAATTTATTCAGTTCCTAATTACGACGTTATCTTAAGTTATTACGTAATCAGCTGACCTAACAACATTTTATACTGACCATTTCAATATTAAAAATCTCTTATGTTAAATAATTATACATTTGACTTGGGGCATGCTTTTAATTTTATCCACAATTATAGATGGGATAGACTTGGCTAGCGCACTGCCGGCCGTGCCCCCAGCTGTAGACATCTTTGTAAACTATCACAAAAAAAATTAATTAAACCAGAAGTTTCTTAAATTAGTGGTTTTTTAGTTCTAGTTTTATTAAAAAAATAAGTGAATTAAAACATGTAGAAAAAGATTCATACCGTTAATATAAATAACAATTAAAACTTACGGCAGCCTATTGAATATTTCTATTTATTAGATTTTATCACGCGACGCGAACATAACGAAACATGAAAACACACTGACGCAATAACCATTGAAGATAAAACAAATCTAGGTATATGTTTGCATAATTTAAAATTAGATACTGTTGCCAGCGATAAGTCTGACTGACTGTCCTATTCATTCTTATAGAAGTACTAGCTGCCCCCGCGAACTGCGTTTCTCCTTAATGTAATTTTACTTAGCCTACCTTTTTAGTACCTCAGAGACTGTTCGGTATTCCAGAATGAAAACTTTGGTTTTTCTGTGAATTTTTCTCTATATAAACCTCAGAGTTCAAGTAATTTTTTTTAAATTAACAAATAAAAAATAGGAGTTGATCGTAGAGGTGTGAACATTAAGTATTTTTGTATGCTTTATCAATAAAAAAAAATAAAAACAAAAAAATTGTTTAAAAAATAAGAAAATTTAGGGGTCTAAAAAACCTTAAAATTTAAGGGGATGAAAAATAGATGATGTCCGATCCGCAGACCTAACCGATTTGCAGACAAAATTTCACGAAAATAGGTCGAGCCAATTCGGAGGTGTTTAATTACAAACACCGTGACACGGGAATTTTATATATTAGATAAACTATGTTTTTATTATTTAAATATTATAGTGTTTAGTGGTTGAGTGAGGGACTGTAATAGCTAAGGCTCGAACCCCAAATTTGTAACAAATTTTTCTATGTCCACTCGCTCGTACGGTGAAGGATAACATCGTGAGAAAACCATGACTAATAGCGTGGGTTATTAGAAAACTATCATAAAATGTGAGTAGTCTAACAAAACATTTTTTTAAACTTTTACTATTTGACAAATTTCCTAGACATTTCTAAGCTTATATTTGTACGTTTAACTATATCAAACAAAGTAATTCAAGCAACCATAAGTTACACAAACAAACTCACTCCTATATCAAAGCCGAGAATCTCATTACCCAACGCTGAAAGGTATAAACTTATAACCGCATCTCAAACTAATTTCTAAGGTAAAATATTTGATAGTTAAAACACTGTAAGCTCCAATGAATATGAATACGTAATTTAGAGGAGTTTTAGATGAAATTTGCGTTTAATAATTACGATCCATTAAAACCAAATTTTAAGATACCCAGAACGTCGAAAGTTAAATCTTGATTCAAGAGCTACTATATACTTATAAGTGAATAGTAGGAAAGATTAGACAATCACTTGAGATACGAATGATATAGGCCCATGTTCCTGGGCGTAAACAAACTTATGTATACTTACGCCTGCGTAGCCCATATTTTTCCTTAATGAATGCAAATAATATTTTGGAAAGAACTAGAAAATAATATTTGATCACTTTCTTACTAAAAATAAGGCTAAGTGAAGGTACGCATATTAATGTTATGTAGTTAGTTACTTTGTTTGGTTAAATTACTGGTTCAAAGTGTTAGATAGTTAAGAAACCACAGGGAAGCTGGTTAAACATAACGTATACACTAACTTATAATCCAAAAACAAATAATTATACTATATTCGAGCTAAAACTGCCGAGAACGTCTTTAGCCCAATCTTAGGGGATAAGATTATGCCATACCGTCCATACTGCGCTGCCAAGTCCAAGGCACTCTCTTGCTTGATATTCCGAATGTTGACGTCAGCTCCATGAGCTATGAGTTGAGCCACCACGTTCACGAAACCGAATTGTGCTGCCATCAACAGCGCCGTCTCTTGGTCCAGGGTCTAGGGAAGAGAACTCACCTTAAGAAATTATCCTTGAATACCCGACAAATTTATCAGCTATGCAGACCGTCATTATTTAATATATGTTATTGTATGTGTACACAGTCGAGAGCTTCAGTAGAGTCTCAAATTAATACTGAATCTGACGCATACCATTATCAGTATATCACTAATTGAGGTAAAGATAAGCTGTGTAAAAAAATATGTGAAAAATAATGTGTTAACTGTGATTAAAAGGTCAAATCATTTCTTCTACGAATGACAAAAAAAATTGTTACTTCAGTTTTAATGATAGAATACAAAGCAAAATGAAGTGTTAAGCTTGTACTACGAAAATTTAAATTAACAAAAAGATTCACCAAATCGCGTGACTTGAAGATGTCCTACTTTTAATGGTAACCTTTATCGCCTAGGTTCTATTACTTTACCTAGGTTCAAAGTGATCGTAATACAGAAAGACGGTATACATTCTGAGCATTGATAGACTGAACTTGTAGACAACATCTTGGATGATTAACAAGTACGACAAAAAAGAACTAAAAAACAATTACATACAATTTCGTACATTGTTAAATACTGCGGAATCTCGATAACTCGAACCTCGAAATCCTCAGTAAGTCGTAAAAATTTGACATTGCCTTCCGCTGAACCCCTAATACGCGGTACCTATCTCGAACTATCTAGACAACTCTAACTCGAACAAAATGTTTATCATACATATTTATACTCTATAACTCGATTTTCAAAAAGGAGACTAAGCCGTAGTTAGTAAAATATAAGGTATCATGAAACAAATATACTCACCACGTGATTGACATTGACAGGTGGATTGTTGTGGTTGAGGAGCATGGCTACAATATCGACATCTCCCTTCCACGCCGCCAAATGAAGGGGCGTAGCACCCTTCTTGTCCACGACGCATGGTGACGCATCCACTGATAGTAGCAACCGTACTATCTCTCTGAACAAATATTGTATGTAAATAATTTCTGATATAGAATACGAAAATAAAATGCTGTCAGATCAATTTGTGAATATAAATTTTTTATTTAATCTATATTTCATGTATAGGCAACCAATTTTTTTCAGCTTGCACACACAAATTTTTTCGTCCACAGACAATAAGGTATGGTACACGCATCTTTAAGAGTTCATGCTATAATTAACAAAATCTAATGCATTGATAAAACTTTCAGAAATCCAGAAAGTATACTTAAATTGATAATTAATAGATGTAAGTTCGTTAACAATAATTTCAGCAAATCAGCGCCCGGAAAAATGACGCCATCAAGCCAGATTGTACTATAAATTTGTTATACTATTCTATAATCTCTTATTATCAATTATAAATAATTGTAACAGCATACAAACATTTATATCATAGGGGCTTATCATTTATAAAATTAAATAGCACTATTATTTAAATTTACGACTATTTTAACATAACTTTCAGTGTGTCACTTAAATATTAAGCTATAATTATTATTAAAAATAGTGTTTAAGAAATTTCCATAGTTACTTACTTGTGGCCACGTAAACAGGCATGATGGAGGGGAGTATAACCATTATCGTCTTGAACATTTACACCGGCGCCTCGCCTTAAACTGTAAACAAAAAAAATATCAAAAGAAATTCGCAGTCGGTAGGATTCGAACCTACGCTCCCAGAGGGAATCTGATTTCTAGTCAGACGCCTTAACCGCTCGGCCACGACTGCTGTTACTAATTGAGAGTAAATAAGAGAACGCTTTCAAATGAATCGATTAAACAAGTTTAAAACGTAAACCAGGTCACGACTGATTAACGAAATTAGCTGAAGATTTATTTATATCTCATTTCCTTCGTACGATATTTCCTGTATTATGGAATACTCATTCATACTACTTGTTGCCAAAAAAGTGTTAATTCTGAATTCAAAAATTTGCATTCGTGGTTTAAAACACCTGCCTTCTTGCTTGAGTGCGCAAAGTTCATTTAAATTTAACTGTTACTTTTGTCACTATTTTAAGCGCACTTTTAAGAAAATAATTATTTCTTTTTGCATTGGTCTTAGTAATAATTATGTAGATGTTGAAAATTCTACTTCGTGGATGGTCCGGCCTCATGTTACTTGACTTACGTTACCCACATTGTAAACGTCTTTCAAGTAAAGTGAGATGCACATTTTCTACGCATGTAATGAGGTCCCAGAGCCAGCCGGGACCCAGAGCCAGCGAAGTATATGAGTATAAGTATTAGACTCTATCGTTAGATTTAATTGAAAATCATACCTAGTAGTTAAATATTGTTTAATACCTCTACAACTTTAGTAGTAAACACTACGTAGATTTTCTTATTTCATAGTAACGATTAGTAGAAATTACTACTATTTTGGTAATGAAAACGGGCGATTTAATAGTTTAAATGACACACATTGTAGTACCGTTACGACACACATAGAGCTAAAGACAGAGAACTCTCAGCCGGCCTTGACACCACGAACAATTCATTACGGCAGGTCATAGACCCAAGACCCGATTCAGACAATGGTCAACCCGCATTAGTTCCTTTCTTAACCGTTAGTACTTAGAACTAAAAACACTTGAATATTTTGATGAAGATTACGTAAAGTTAGTGATGCACAAATTTAGGAATCACCTGTCCAAGGACACTCAAAAAATTGCACCTACACTGGTCTTTTGGTAGGTTTATAGCTTGTTATATCCTTGGCTTATTGATTTATTAAAAGGCTAATTGATAAGCAGCCTACTGTGTGATGTGTCCTTCCAATGATAACGTTATTGTTTTATATAACAAAGAAACTCCAGGATAATGCTAAACAAACCATTCTTTCTACGAGTCAAATATCCTTGAAGACAACCAATTGTATTTCACACAAACACTACACCATCACCACGATTAGCAATATTGTTTTATTACTATGATTTTTTGTATATAATTGCGCCTTTACCTTGTGATAAGATATATTTTACAATGCATAGTCTTGCTTTTACGATCGTGGTACTGTAGCTAATTTTGAAAAATTCATGGATTCTTATTCTTTAATAACTATTAATGTTTGCAATTTAAGTTGCTAATTCCGTCTTTTAATTAGTAATTGATACTCTATTCATTTGAATAATTTTGCCTATTGAATCAATTATGAATCACTGCAGGAAGCCTCCCAGACAAAGACAAGTGTATCATGGCATGGGTAATATTTTAATTTGTAAAACATAAACATAATTATAACAATAATCAAGGACTAGAATGTAGAGCATACTTATGAATACTAATATTTATTAAGCAATAGTAGGAACTGACAATATTTACAAGAAACCATTCTATAGACAGCTTGCGACCAAATATTTGTATAATTTTTTAAACATAAAATTCTCATTTCAATTGGAAACTATATAAAAACATTATTTGTAACGACTCTACCATTCCGATATATCTTCACAAATAACCCACTAATTAACTCACCTATCAAAATCGAAAAGTTTCGAGCGTAACTTCTTTTTAGCTTTCACACATTTCCTATACAAATGGCACTTCGCATCACACACATTAGCACATATATCTAGCGAGCCAAAACACTGCACTTTTTTGTCATCCATCTCTTGAGTCACCTCCGAATGTATGTATCCATATTTCTATACTGACTCATAGGAATTCACTGGCCCAAAACAGGTTAGACCGACCAGGGAGGGACAAGGCGTTTGACTAAATTAATATCGTATAGATAACTCCGATAAGATAAATATGTAGTCCAAGGAATTACCATATTGCGAATGTATTATCTAATTATAATCGCCAAAACAAAAATACTTAATTGATAATTTCTTAATTTCACAATTAATTTTTAATTATGGAATACTTAGTGTTAATCGATTGGGTTCTATTAAATACAATAATTAAATAACACATAACTACAGTCAAAATCGGTTATAACGACATCGAAAGGACTACTCATATTTGGTCGCAATAACCGATAGTCGTAACAGCCGATGACGTTGTTATTAAGTACCTACCTAATACAATAGAATTCAGCCAGGACCTTTGTTTTGGTCAATATAACCGGTATGTTGTTCTAAACGATGTCGTCGTAAACGGTTTTGACTGTATTTCTAATGTTATTTTTTACCACATCAATATTACTTTCATCCGAAAGAAAACAAAGGTACGCTTTGATATGAATTCCGGTCTCTACATATGTATTTAAAAGATAAAACTATTTTATCAAGAAGTCTAAGAACAATTTTTACTAACTAAACAACAAAACACCTCTAGAAGTAGGCATAGACAAAGCTAGTATCTATAGGCAGCAGGAGGTCAGCTCCCCACAGGCATTAGTCATAAAGTAGGCGAAAGGTATTTTCCTTATGACTTACTATATCATATGCAAATTCGATGGTTTTTCCGAATAGTTATTACGAAGATGGTTTCGCAATACAAACATACGACGTTACACTTAAATGACAGACTCAGAGTCAAGACTTAGCTCGATCTGAGACTCTTATTATTCAGGACATAATAAGTCAATTCCACGTAACGACTATATGTTTTATGTATGTTATATGAGAGATCCCATAAACGGGCTACGGTCTCTTTATCAAAGCATGTCAAACCTTAAGGCATGTCCTAAAATCAAAAGGTACTGTATGAAAACCTGTCATAGATACAAATTGCGTGATGCATATAAAGATTAAAGATATATAGATACTATTTCTCTATGCAGCGTATTAATAGAGAAAGACGATTATAGGCAGCTCTCCTTAAACTAATTTATGTATTTTTTTAATTGTGTTATATAAAGAGATCATAAAATGTATATAATTACGGTAGTAATTATATACATTTTATAAATAATAAATATATACGGTAATTCAGATTTGCATCTGCGCTTGGGCATTAATTTGACCGGTTTCAAGGCTAACAACTGGACTGGAACGGCGAAACAAAATAAAGTGAGGATTAATGTTGGAAATTTTACTTTTTCAACTGGATTTGGTTTTTAGCAATTGTATGAAAATATCATGTATTAATTGAAGCTTTAGGGCAATCGAACACTTTCAATTAGTTTTAGGGTTATAAAAGAGGAGTCATTATAGGAGAGAAAATACATACTTATAAGCTTTAAGCCAGTAATTCCCTGTTATTATTTAACAAACAGGAAAGAAAATTACAAAAGTCTTAACAATATTAAACAAATCAAGGTGTTAATTTTACTTTAATATTTGATCCTGAATATACAATCTCCTAATAGGCATTATCGTAGATAAAAGACAAAGATTGGTAGTTTAATATATATATATAGATAAAATTTCATTAAATTTAAATCTAAAGTAGCAAATGGAGGTTGGGAAAGCAGTATAAAAACGAAATCCTTCAACATAAAAACGATTTATCAGTTTAAAATATCTAAGTTCGATTAACCCTATAAAACCTACCTGAACCTTCTCCGCAATATCCGAAACATATCCTTTCTACTGAAAAACGGTAACCAAAACTTCATTTTAACACTTCACTGAGAGCAGTTAGAGGCCGTTAAAAATCGATTACACGCCATTTCTTATCTAAACGCTCTATAATAATATTGATTTTAAATATTTAAAGAGCACCATATCGTGGAGACCGCCGTAAGTGACTAACCATCACACCGTAGCGTGAATCATCGTCCGGGCAACAGGTTGCTTCAGTTAGACCTTTTTATTGCGGTAGTTTTGCGGTGTAACTGTTATTTTGGAGCTCGGGCTCTAATTATTTGAGTTGGCTGTTTGCTTAACTCTTAACATAAACCCATTTCTTATAATCATTCAAGCAATCTTAGAAATTCTAGCAATAAATGGCGTCAATATGATTTTTTTCTAATAAGCGTGTATTTTGAGAAAACCGAAACCTGGATAGATTTCATTACACGATTAGAATACTACATTATCTCTGAGTAGGTTCATATATATTTATAAAAGCCGGGACAGATCGCTAGTGTTCACTAAAATTATTGCAAAATACCGAATCCTCAGTACACGTAGTTAGCAAAAATTTTCTAAATGTCATAGAAAACCTGTTTCATCGTTTAATTTAATGGTTTCCTCTTCTATTGCGAAAACCAAGTACATGTACAATAATCTCAAACGTAGATAATAATTTTATCTATGCTTTTTATGCAAAAGTATCAATTACTTTTATCTTAGCTTACAAACATTCTGGGAAGCGATTTACAGTATCATATAAACTCGGATATTTATTGTTAACTTGGCTTAAAACCTCACCAGACAAGCTACACGAGTAAGTCCTGAAGTCCATACATTTAAACAGTTTTAACAGAATTACAAAATAACCCTTAAAAATGTGTTATAACTATCATATATAAATTGTAAGTTAATCATTTCTAGGACGTTTGAACTATCAATTTACGCATGTAATTTAATTAGATAGTCGAACAATACGTGTTGTGTTGTATTTGTTTTAAAATCCACATGATCAACTTGTCACGTTGATCAGATTTATTTCTAGGTATACATAGTACTTACTAGACGTGTTCTCCTTCGCGTTTACTCACTAAGGTCAAATAGTTACATACATAAGAGAATTTTCACATAATTTCAAAAAATATCTGTGTAATAATTTAAGTGATGAAACTAACAAGTAACAGCTTCTGTAGGAAAATGGACTTTGAAAGTTCGTTTAATAAGGCCTTTAAGGAAACTTTCATGCAAGTGAAATTTATGGCTTATTAATTTCAATATACAGTATATCCTTATATTCCCAACAGCAGATATTTTCTTCAGACAAATCATTATAAAGGTACAACAGTACATCAATATTATACCATTTCTCATTGTCTAAACTACACTTTATCTAGGTTCCTGGGATTAGATAACTGCTATAGATAAGATAACTACCACTTTAACCAAAATAGGAAGGAAGCATGAAATTTTAAGAAATGCCATCTTGCTTGTTTTTATTAATAAAATATCAGTGTGCCACGCGTTGGCCAGCTTTTATTAATAAATGAATATTAACATTCTTAAATGTTTTTACTGATATAAAATCAATACATAGACATGTTTTCATATTATTAAACACCTAATACACAGAGGAACAGGCCTCCAATTATACCCAGTCTACATATTTACGTGTATGTGTTTCTTTATAGTTTTTTTGTGTGCAATTCTGTTTAAATAAATAATAAAATTATTTTAAACAAACTGTATTTTTTTTAACAAACTTATTTAAATAATCGGACAAGGAATTCTTCTCATTCATAGTGTTTAGATAATTTACACAAATGCATTTACTTTATTCAGTGGGTTATAGCAAATGTTTCAGCATCTATTTTACAAATCATTTTCATGTAGGCAATTAGCCTTTATGAATTCATACACACCTATTGTCTTATACCTAGAAATGTTATTTAAACAACATTCAATAAATAACTGAAGGAGCCTGAAGCTAAGCTAAACATATCAATAATATTAACCTATAATCTTAATCAGATAATTCAAATATAAAATTATGGGAAGAAGTTTACAGAGGCCATAAAATTCATAAAACTATCTTGCATAAATACAATATGTAGGTGAATGGGATGTGATGGGTAAGTTCAATGTACCACCTTAACAGTCTGGCACAGAGCCAAACACTTAAACAGTATTAGCTACTTACTTCCTTAAATAGATAATGTTTTACCACCTTACTAACTTTTATTGATCACTTTTCTATTGTATTTTTTATTTGTGTGTAATCAAAGATATCATTGTCTATGAAAAATACATCAATTAGTAACAATGACATTATATAAGTCTTCAATAGTGGGAAAACTTCCAAGTGAAGTTGCTACCTAGCAGTATTTGTACCTAATAAGAAGACCAAAGGCTTAGCCAATAAGTAAAAAAGTGTACATTTAATATTTTTTAAAGTTTCATAATGCTTTACTTCCAAAATCGTGCTGTAGTTCTATCATTTAAGCTCCTAACATGATGTTTACTATCAAGTCCATAGATCTCTCACAGTGCATTTTTACTTTTTTATTTATTTTGTATTAGAAAACAATTTTAGCTGTCAATTATTTTAGTAATATAGTATTATCCTCTATAATTCAATTTTAAATATTAAGCAATAAACTTATTGATATACTTCATATTTATGTAAAATAAAATACAACAGTTTATCACCTATATCTAGTGTCCTAGCCCTACTAATACTATGTTCTAGGTGCCTTCACTTTAAGTACAAATATTTCATTTTTAGAATAATGCATCTAAATTAGACTGTGGCCTAATATTTTCTATGATTCTACAATTCCAAGGCAAAATAAATCAAGAAACTCAGTGACCAGCCTTGTGTCAGTTTTCCTAATTGGTAATAGGTCTATATTAAAAAGAACTTCTTAGAAAACTTGTAAAATATTGGACAATGGTCCTAATTATATGAAACCGCATTCTTATTCACATGCACAAGATTAATTTATTCTATTCTTGGAAGAACAGAGTCGTAAACATTGAAAAACCCTCACGTACAATACAATGTTTTGGTTTTGATCAGATTTTCGCGGAACTAAGACTTAGGAATAAACTTAGTTTTAACAACTGGCAATGTGGGATAATTAGTTCTGGATCTTATGGATTTTAATTAATATGTGACCTATATGTAGCGTGAAACATGAATTTACCTTGTAAAAGGACCACTCCTTTTAGTTATTTGTGCTAATATTTTCTCAACACTCCGCTCATCACCTTTGCGCGCCGCATCTAACAAATCCTGGCCTCTTCCCATGGCCCATTTATTTCTTAAATCAGAGTACGATCACAATGTGTCACCATTTCAATTTTTACACTAGAATTCACTACACACTACAAGAAGTACAACTTCATTGATCGAGCCGCCATGTTTAAATTAGACGTGAGTGCGCTCTAGCGGCCACGGTGGGAAATGGGAATCGATATTGCTATTGAATGACTGACAAAGTACAGAATGAATGGACATGACATTACATAAAAATAAATTTTACCATAAACGGATTAAGAATCTTTACTATTTTATTATTATGTATGCCTTAAAATACTTGATTCATATATTTTCAACAAAGCCGTTACTTTTAAAAAAATATAGGAAAGCCATTTGTGGTTTAAGTATTGTATTTAATTAACTTCAAGTACCTACTGGACAAAATTTTAAAAATCTAAATTTAAAATCCAGCTACCTAAAATATTCTTTGAATATACATAATAGGTTAGCACATAGTTTTGTTAATATGTAGGATATAAATAATTGGTAAGTACATTTGTGGAATATAAATTGTTTTAAAATAATTAATGTAAAATAAAATAATTACATCAAGGAATTATTAGGTATTTTTGGTGTAATTAGACTTTACTTGTCTTATTGACTCATTCACTCCACACAAGGTATTTCAGAAAGAAGGAATGTAATATTATAAATTTAAAATTAACCCTGCTGAACTGTGAATGAGGTGTTACGTTCTATTTTACATTGGTCAATAAAATTTCTTTCACCTTAGGTCTTCACAGTTCACAGAACTTTTGACAATTGACAATGATAGTTGAGTCATACGTGACAGTTTACAACACAATAACAAAAGTAGAGAAAAAAGTGAGACACGCAAAGTTTTCACTAAATGAAGTCGGGTTAAAATATATAATGCTGTGATTTATAAGAAGTTCAGTGATCCTAAATATCGATTAAACTTTCTAATTATGCGATTGCTTTGTTAATTCAATTTAATAATCGCTACGTCGTCTGTTCTATAATGTCAACATCAACAGCTGATTGCCGACAAATTTAATTAAGATTACAGAATTAATAGTTTTACTCTGGCTAGAAAGAAATTTTGTGTAAGTGAGTAAAATGTCTTCAAGAAGTGTGGTGAAGTGTGGTATTTGTCTCCTTACGTTAATGTTAATAAATAATATATGTGCTCAAAGTAAGTAAATAACGATAAAACCCAATTTTCAACAAACTAGTACCACCCCCTAAAATAAATCAATTAATACTACTTCAAAGTAATCAATTAATTATTCTACAAACTTTGTACTACTTCTATATTAGTGAACACTTGCTTATTAAATTGTTTAAAACATTATTATTTTCTAATAGAATTAAATAATCAAGCTATAATATACATGTCATTAGTTGTCTATAGGTAAAGGAAAACACAACTATTAATCAAAGTTTTCAAATACAGTAAAATTATAATATACATATACATAAATATAGAATTTTATGTGAAGCTGTGCCTATTTTTTAAATATTGTTATTCTAAAAAAAATATCTCTAATTTCCATCTTAGCAGCTTGCAATCGCTATCACTACTGTGTATTTTTTTCTTGCAGATTTAACACTCATACTAAACAACACACTATCATGGGGAAATAAAGAGTTATATGGTGGTTTTATAAATATAAAGGCAAATTCCACTCTCCAAGTTGACTGTATCAATGAAAACAAGAATGTATCTTATATAATATTTCAAGTCCATAGTCATTTATATAATATAACATTGTATAATACTACAAATGTTCTTGGATCATCTATATATGGTACCAATTTAGGATTATATAGTAATGTTTTACCTACTATTGATACATTTTTTATAATAAACCAAAATTTGGTTAGTCTGTTGCTTTATGTGTCTGTTCATGGATATAGTCTTGATGGTATGTATTTTAATTGTTTTTACTGCCTACTTTTTATAACCTTGCATATAGCTTGTCTAGAACAGTTAATTCTGAACCTAGTTGTTTAAGGTTCAGAATATGTTCTGACTTTTAAAACAAAACAAAAATTAATTATGATTTCTTCTGACATCATATTAAGTATGCTAATATGTTTTCCATTTAAAACTTTAAAAAATATGCTGGTGATATTTGATCATTATGCTTAATATAGGCTATAACTAGCCAGTATCACAATTTGTTTAGTATTTATTATTGGCCCTATCAGTTGTGTCACATAATATTATCTGTGACTCATTTATATTGCTGTTTAGTAAATCATATTAATAGAATTTTATTTAATGTTACAATATGTAAGATTAAGAAACTTTTTGCAATGCAATAAACAAAGCAACTACTAGTATTGTTGTTTCATATCATCAAAGGGAAAATAAACAAGGAAGAGTTTTTTTTTTCTCTATTATATTTGGGAAATCTATGTTATTTTGTGTGCCTACACTAATAAAATTTAAAAAAATGTGTAATCTTAATTAAATTCCTCAACAAAATCCGCTTTCAGACCCTATCCCTGGTGGATGCAACATGGAGTTTCCCGTGCCCATATCTCCGTATCTACAAACTAAATATAATAATGAATATATTCTGGTTGATGCACCACCACCTAAAGATCAATTAGATGATAAATGCAACACTATTGGTAATGTAGTGTTGCTATTTTATAAAATGTACTTGCCTGAACGAAACTTCGAGGCTGATGTTTATTTTGAAGGTATTCAGAAAATGTTGACAGTTGACAATATTGAAGAAAATGGGGAGTTTGTAAGTGTGATTTTCTTAAATTGAATCCGAATGAAAAAAAGTAAGTTTGTCAGTAAAAGGTGTATTTTTGTTTGTCTTCTTTCACCCCGTTTAAGCAATGCACCAAGAATGTCTCATATTAAAAAATTTTGGTTGTATTCAGGGTCATATGTGTTTTCTTTATCAATAAAATATCCGTTTCTCTACCCAAGACATACTCCCTACTTGGTTTCTGAATTATGTTTATTTGCTTATTATAATACTATAGGTCCCAGATAATGGTCTCCACAATCGACGCATGCTCAGTGCGTACCAAGGTGTAGGATCTATCTACGTGGCTGTAGCAATTAGTGTAGAGAACGCAAGCGCGTATTCAGTGTACGTGCCAACGTATACGTACGCATGCGCGCCTTTAGTCGAAGGAGACTGTGACATTTTTGGTACGTATATTCATAAATCTAGAATATTTATTACGATTATTGTATATTTTATGTGTTTCAAATTTCGTTTGTTTGTTGTTTTTGTTTCAGATGATGTATTATCACAATTATTACTCGCATCCATATTGTTTATTGGTTTGTTTGTGTGTTACTACGGACACAGGTTCTTTAAGACTGAGATGTTTTTAATAGGATTGATAAGTGGCGGCATTGTTACCTATATACTTATTTCTTTGATGGCTGATTTGGATAGACCTGGTAATTTATGTTTTTTTTTGTATTAACGCAAAAGGCATTTTAATATAAATTACCCAACTAACCTTCCAGATTAATCACATGCCGTTGTATGTTGGTTTATTTTGTTTTTTTTTTCAATATTTTTTTTAAATTGCGTAAATACATAAGAACAAGAATCAAGAAAAAATGATATGTATGAAGGCAAAAATTAAATAACATTTTTGAAAACCGTATTTTTTTTTTATTGCAGCACTACTTGGTGCGTCTATACTTTCTGGAATATGTTTTGGGGCAATATGGTTACTGTTCTGGTGGTTTTACGGTATACCTGTTCTCGCTGTGTTTCTAGCGACACTAGATGTGGGGTTTCTATTCTCAGCTATAATTTACTACGGCCTACCAGGTAATATTTACATATTAATAATAAGCAGTTTTTTATCGAATTATAAGTATGACTTTTTAAGATTAGATTTTATTGCGGGGTTAGAGCGTGGCGACCGAATCAAGAAATTCCGTAACGAAAATAAAAACCTAACACACGTAATATAGGTGTGGCCAATACGCGTTACAACAGGACGGCCGGTACGCGTTAGAGTGAGACAGACTACATAGGCGTGTTAGTCTGAGTGTGGTAGGGTGGTAGATTGAACTAATATCTAAGAAAAAAAATACTGCATAAATAAATAAATAATTATAATTGCATAAGTTGATAAAAAATTATATGCAATAGCTTTACCGCGGCAATCCCCGAGTGCCACACGTTTTTTTTTATTTAAATATTAATTTATCTACAAATACTAAAAATCATATTTATATCACCTAGTTGCGTGTTCCAACTATAATTTTTATTGACATTAATTAGATTGTATCACTATTATGACCCTAACTTAATAATTAATCTTAATATAATTTAGTATTTTTCCTTTTTAGGTGGTTTGACAGCTCTACAATTCGACGTAAACTTCTGGACTTTATTCATATTTATAATGCTCACAACTTCCTTGCTTCTGGTGTCTATGACGCTTATGTCAAATATACTCTGTTGCGCGATACTCGGCGCGTACGCAGTAGTATACTCTATGGACTATTATTTGGGCTCTAGTATGAAATATATTATCATAAATACAGTGAGACGAGCAACCGTACCGAAGTTTAATAAAGCTGTCTTAGATCCACCTTTCGAATGGGAAGGTAAAATTTATTTTTATACATATGTATTGTTGATATGAATTGTTGTTTATCTTAATTTTTTTAACAAATTTTTTATAGGTTTTAATTTTTCTACTACCAAGACGAATGTCACTTGAAAATCCACACAATTAAACTAAATAATTTGTTTACTCATTTATATGCTAAACAATATAAAATTTACACAATATGAGGAAAAATATTCCGTCATCAAAGTACAAAAATCATGCTTTTTTTTTATTAACGAAAAAAAATAATTTCAGATTCTCTCATGTGTCTGTTGTGGGTTGGTTTGGCGATGTCTGGATTCCTCTTCCAACACTTTCATAACTACGGTCGTCCGCCATTTCCCCCACCACCTAGGAGCGTTCGACCTGGAGTCCCGAGATCCTTGTATGGGGCAACACCTCTTGGACCCAGCCGGTACGTATATGCTTGCCTATTGAAATACAGATACAAGGTCAAAACTGTTGAGCCACTGTTTTTTATTTGTCTATGGATTTATTGGTGCCCCACGAATTTGTATGGTCACGTGACCAACCCTGAGCTTATGTAATTTTCATATAAAAGTTACACGGCTGTCGCGAAGTCCTATCTGTCTGTTACTGTAATGTATTGTAATTAGTTGGTTTACATATTAAATTAAGCGAAGGTTCGAAAACTGTCGTACTTGACAAAAAAGCGTGAAACTTCATAAATTTTTTGTTCTGATATGATATTAAATCACCGCGAAAATGGGGGGGGAAATATACACGTATATACTTAAATATATTTACGGAATTTACCAAGTACATATTACACAAGTCCTAAAATATCAGATACGTCAGGTCAAACTGATGGAAGATCTTTTTGTTATCTCTATATATATAAAATTCTCGTGTCACAATGTTCGTTCCCATACTCCTCCGAAACGGGTCGACCGATGTATATTCAGTATCTATGTCTGAGAATCGGCTACTATCTATCTTTCAAACCCTTAAGTGAACCCTAAAAAAAATTGAGGAAAAATTCTAAAGGGGTGTCCCAAATGTTTTTTTTTTTATTTTTAGAATTTTTTTTAAAGATACAACATACAGAAATACATACAACCCTTAATTTTCACTCCTCTACTATCAACCTTTATTTTCTATTATAGTAGATATTTATTTTTATTGAGTTAAAAAAATGATTCCTAGAAATAATATACATGGCAAAACGGCGTTTGCGGGGTCAGCTAGTACTTTTTTTATATTTAAACCTTTTCTTTTTTTTTTAAACGTTAAGTTGTCCAACATTAAACTCTTAATATATTTTAGCACAAACTTTTAAATCAGTTTCAACCGTAAAACATTTTTATTTGTTATAAAAAAATTACTTACTTAGTATTGTTCTCGATTTTAAAATCCATCAAATTCCGTGCAGCTTAGAGAGAAGTATCCCCAGATTGCACACCATTTGAAACGACAGTTGTGAACATTATCACGGATTTAAATGCGTTTAAAAAGTTACTTTAAATAAATATATATATATATATTTATTTAAAGTAAAATCTTTACCCTTTCCCCCTTCCCCCTCAAATTTAAAATTAAGAGATCCCCCCCCCCCACCCCCCACAATTTTATATATAAATAAATATATATATATTCCTTTTACTTTTTCAGTTATCCTCGTGTCATCTCAAGAAATCAGCGCAGCACTGTAACCAGTGAAAGATCTCCACTATTGGCTTAAGTATGAATATTCACGTTCCTTAAAAATGCATATTCGAACAATATTTAAAATAATTACGGATTAAAGTATAACCAGTTCGTCCTAGATTTCTATATCAAAATTCATCTATCTAATTCATCTATGTTCAATTAATAAACATTTTCGCGCCATTTTTACATTCCCTCATCAAAGGGATCTCACAAATTCACCAAAAATACTGAGAATTAAACATAATAATCGTTATGATATAAACTGACAATTTCATTTAATATACATACTACAAAGAAAGATAGCAATGGCCGTTTCCTTAATTTGATGAATATGCGTACGCGCAATTAATTTTAACAAAGGTTTTTTTATAATATATATTACCTGTAGTAATTTACACGGTAAAGGCTAAACATATTTATATCTTTGTTGTTTTTTGTTTTATATTGAGATTTTTTTAGTTTCCTATACTAAGTATAACTGTTCTATTTTATTATTGAATAATCATTTAAAATATATGAATTTGTACAGCGCCTCTAGTGGTAAAATGCAAAAGAAATTGCCTATTGAAAATTGTATCGTTACTATAGCAACAAACACTATTTTAGACCTTATATATGTGAGTAATTAAATATCATAAAACATAATATTGTATTTTTATAACCGTTTAATAAAATTTATTTGTTATTTAAATAAAGGAATTCACAATAGCTCTCTACATGACACAAAGTGGTATTTTTATTAACTCAAACCGCACATGTTATGGAACAAAAGATGCGTTCGAAATTCAATTCCCCTCATGAGGGGCATAGATAATCTAAACCAATTATAAGCGTTGATAATCTGTGCAATTGTTTATTTCAATACTGACATGTGTTTGATTGTTCCGCAATTTTTTGTTTTATCTAGTTTTAGTACAATGTTTTGTTTTTAAATAAAGCACGTATTTTAAATGATCTTTTACTAATATATAATCTTATAACAAAAATATACCTTTCAAGAATTTGTTCTTCATAGAAGCTAAAATTCGTCGCTTTTAATTTTATCGCATATTGTCAATAACGATAGAAGCCGTCAGAATGGGTCTAATAATAATTGAATTGTACAACATTGGGTGCATTAAGTAGTTTACCATTAAGAAAAAGCCATACGCCCGAATAACTTGAGATCTAATGCCGACAATACAAAACATTTAATCCCATCCCATTGTGCGACCCTTCCCAATCTAAATAGGGGAATGTATGGCTCCCTATATAAAACTATTCGGATTATAAAGCGCCAACACGCAAAATTAATACGTACCGCCCAAATATAGTTAACAGTATAATTTTAGTAATAAAACGCTCCGTAGATGGCAACACTATTTTAGCGGAATAAGGTTTTGTTTCGAATGTTCTAACGTCATCTGCGTAGCTTCTCAATGTCAGTAATAAACTATTGTTAAATTGGATACACTTCAAAATTGAATTGGGGAGCGAATTGTAAAGAAAACAAAACAAATGGTTAATGCCGTATTTATTAATAAATTTCACTGTAATCTCCTCAATCTATATGCACTTAATCGAGTAATAATTTATTTTACACTTAAAAATTAAGTACAGATCTTATCGTCTATAAGACTAACACATCCGTATTGCATTTATTTTAATGAAAAATATATTAACCATTTACATTTCCTTAAATTAAGATGAGACTTGTGCTGTACCATTACTATTACGATGATTTCTTAACACACCGATTTTGACATGCTCCCGAACTATTTCAATTGAAGTAAAAATAATCTAACTAGACACCTACGTAATAATTATAATCACAGCAATATTGATCTTCTTAATGATAATAAATAAATTAATTCGTTTCGAAATGTGCTATTTTAATTGTGACTCAACACATTACAACATCTATTAATGTAACTATTATACAATAATACAAACATGCCTCGAATGTCAATTTGTAGTCAGAGGGTTGAAACAAATCGCTGTAACGAAGCTTATTGCCACGTTTTTCTCTATAGCATTAATATTTCGCACCCCTGCCGCATACATCAAAGGAAGAAGGGTTGTGCAAGCAAAGGGCGCGTAACACTCAATTATTACAAATGTTGGCACAAATCATTTACATTTCTTAAACTTTGAACACAATACCGTCGCGTCGCTAACGAAACCTCTACCCAACAATAGATGGCAGCTATATACACTTAGATGCGAAGGTATAGTCTATGGAGAATTAACATAATTCATCGATTAGTCAGCTTATGAGCTAAGTTTGAACATCATCAGTTTAACGTACGCATTGTAGCACTTACGACGCGGAATTGTTCTCCTGTATGTCGGCGGGCATGACGTCATGGCCGGCTGTCATGTTGAGAGCGTTCATAGACAAATGAGCGTCCGCGTAGTTGTGCGCCAGTTCGCCGCTAGATGGCGACTCGGGCACGCTCGGGTTCTCGGGCATCGAGAGCAATCGATGCGGGAACCCGAATAGCTGAGATCACTGAAGTCGTCCCCAGTAATTGGACGCGAGGTCCGGCCCCTGCGATGGAATTTGCACCGGGACGCTGACGCCCGCCGATATCACACCTACAAATAAAAGATTGAAGATTAAAATGCAGTCTATTAGAAAAAAAGGGAGACCTTTTCGGTTCCAATTTGACTTAGATTGTTACGATAACATATCAGCTTGTATTATAGTAGATAATTATTGCAAAATAAATAGTTTACAATATTACTTAATTAATATGTTGCTGAAGTATCTTACGAATTTATTTCGTATTAGTGAAAAAATAATCTCAAAATTAAACAGTTAATTAGCTAGCTATCAGAGTTTTAATACCGGTAGATACTTTTGTTATACAATTAGTAAACCCAGAAAATAAAAAAAACAACAAAAGTTTTTCTAATTTCACCAACTGGACTGTTAGTAGATAGTATATATTAATGCACCAACTGGCTACTAAAATAAACCTAACACGTATTATATCTAGTCTACCCTTTCATTGTTTTCAATACGTAAAGCCTTAGACGCTTCCATTAATATTCCCTACATATCGTTATATACCCGTATCTCCCGTAGAAATAGGCATCCAATCAAAGGGTGGTTTACACGAGACGGCTGGCTTTATGACTGGTCTGCCAATCGCCATATCCGAGATAACACGATTGTGTGTAATGGAATGCAATTGGAATCCTATTAGACATATGCCGATACTGATGCATGATGTTAATAGGTTTCGTATTAGATTATGTATGGCATGCGTATGGAATTTGACGTCTAATCTCGGGCATAATAATAATGTTATATAATTTGACCTAATCTTGTGTCTATGTACCTACAATTTATATAATTAAACAGTATTGTACCTATAATAAACCGAAATCTAATTATCGTGTCAATAATCAATTAAAATATTGTATTAATAAAAACTAACGCAAAGACGTTAAGTCGTTTTAAATATTAAAAAAATCAATTATTAAATTAAACGTTTATTTGGTCAGATACAATTAGATAATTGTACCACTATCTAAGAATCTATCTAGATTAATTATAAATATCCGCACAATCAGCCATATATAAATAAAATACGCATGCAAATGTCATATTAATTGTTATACTGTCATATAATAATAACATTAACATAAGGTGATAATAATAAGTTATTTAGAATTGGTGTCAAACTTTTGGTATAAATAAGTATATAATATATAATATACATAATATATAATAGAAAATTTTATGGTTTCAAGTCATTCAATAAAAATATTGCCAATTATATTTTGAAGATTTGAACTCATAATAAAGCGTTACTATAAACAGTTTACGACTTATATTGACGTATAATACTCAGACGCGTGTGGCGTGGTGATAAGGAAAGGGGTGTGTTCACGATTATCACCAGTTAACAGCTCCTTTGAGACTCGTTTGTTCAATGGTCTGGTTCCATGTCACTTTATGAAGATAGATCGTTATTGTATGAAGAATATATGAACGGGTTGTTACCCGGAACTTATTAAATCCAATGCTATTATCATGGAAGTTTATATTGTTAAATTAAATAGAAAAATACTTTAAGGTAATGCAGATCAAGTGATTCATAAATAACGTATCGAAGCCACGTACATTCGACGCGGGCATTCCATTAGCAATAATCAATATCAAGTGAACTGATACCCAAAAACGATTTCATTATTAAATAAAACTGGAAATGGTTCGGTGGAAGGAGTGCAAAGAGTAAATGAAACGAAACCGTGCATTTTGAATTGTGAAAAACTCCTTTGTTCGCGGTTGACGTTGAAAACTCTGCAATGGAACAATGAAACGCGCCAACAACAATAATTCATACCGTTTTCCGCCACCTACCGGTAAAAATGTCCGTTGCATGATATATAACATCGAATGGCAAAGTTATGGCTTTTTAAAACAATGGTGATGCCAAAGGAAACTTCGTTATTACAAATATCTACAACATTTCGCGAACATGAAATATTTTCTTATACATTGCTTATGTATACGTCCTTACGCGAGATTTCGCCTTTCTTCTTAATTATAGATGTTATACCTACAATCCAATACCTGATATAATATATTTAATGCCAACAATGAATCACCTTTTAAAAAGGGAATTTTATTTTTTAATCTTAAAAAAAGTACGAATATGATACTTCCGTATTCGGCTGAAAATGTCAGCATATAAAAAGAGCAGTGATGGCATAGTGTCTTCAGCTTGACCTTTCATCCCTGAGGGCGTAGGTTTGGCTGTGCACCAATAGACTTTCTTTCTATGTCCGAACTTTATATTCGCTCGAACGTTGAAGAAAAACATCGGTAGTAGACCCTTAGACCCCTCAGTCGACGGCATGATGTATAAGGCGCAGGCGGCCTCACCAACTAGTCTATTAGATTGACAAATGATCATGAACCAGATACAGAAATCTGAGACCTAGACCTAAAAAGATTTTGCTCAAGAATGATTGTATCGCAGTGTTTCCCAACGTTGGGCCTACTCCCCACAGGGGGGCAATTCGAAAATTTATTACTTTTTTAAATAGTTATTTGTAATTTCAGCTTTTCATTATATGTTATAAAGATCTTCTGTGTTTTGTTTACAATTTCCTTCCTAAAAACTATCATTTAAGTTGGTCTTAAGTCTTATGTGAGCAATTCAATTTTAGATATTAAATATTAGGTATGTATGTTACATATTGCATAAGAATTTTAATAATGCTAATGGCATAAAAGCGTCGGAAAGCACATATCTAAATCGGCGATTAAAAAGAGTGGCGGAGAGTGTATTGCCAGTTCTTCTCTTCCGTTCTACGCCCTTGATTTGAGAACTGGCAGTAAATGTAAAATTAGAAGCATTTAATGTATATTTCTTTTTTGACGTTCATAAGTGTACATTGTGTATGAATAAATGATTTTTGACTTTGATTTTGACTCAAGCATATTTTTGAAGAACATTTCTTTTCTAGGTGTCAAATATTTCATCTGATTAGAACCTTTGCTATAGTAATAGGCGTTTATCATAATAATCCAAGTAAAACCTTACGTTACAATCGAATACTGTTTTGAAAAGCGCTCAATATTCAAAATCAATTTAAAAGCCATTTGTAAGGAACAGACAACGGCAAATCCAATTGGGGCTCGAACTTCCATTTTTTCTTTTTCCTTTATTTTTTGTTTCCCCGTCATGTCGCGGTCTTGTGCGCCCCCGGCTCTTGACTCAGCGTTTTTTACATTTTATTACGAAGTTGGTAAATATTTTTCAAGACCTGATTTTGCCGATTTTGTTACAGACGCGAAAATTTCCGATTGCAGAGTGAGATTTTCCAACCAGTTTTCGAAAATCATCCTTGCTTAAGCGTCATATTATGTTTATACCTCAGATTTCTGTATCTGTTTCATCACGATGACATCATGATGTTAATCTAATAGGCAAGTCGTAGTAGGTGATCTCCTCCTGTGCCTGACATCATCGAATTTTTGGGTCTAAGGCTAGTCGGTTTCCTCACGATGTTTTCCTTTACCGTTCGCACATAGCAAGAGTTCATTGGTGCAGAGTTCGAAGCCACTAGGCCATCACTGCTCATTACGATGAAATTAGTTCTTAAGTGTGATTAACCATTATAACAGGTCTTTATCGCCCGTTCTTTATTATCGCGACAAAGTAAGGTACTTCTAAAAATCATTGATTTTACTTTAGAACTAATCTATCTATTCGGTAAACCCTTTGACAAATAGAAGCATTTGTAAATACATACCGGTACTGGCAGCCGCTTGAGGTTGGGAATACGCCGGGTGCTGCTGATGAGCAGCCGGTGCTCTTGAGTATCCTCCACTACCGAGGACATCACCAAACATGTAAGGGTAGCCGCTGTCACGTTGCTGAAGACACGACGAGGAGAGACCGCCCGACATCGAACTATCGGAAAGCGCACTGTCAATACATGGATTCGATGACGTTAGTACTAATTAAAATTCTTGCAATTAATTATATAGTTGAAGAATTTTTTTTTTATTTTGTGTTTAATACACTACGTATTGATGTTCTACAATCATAAAGTATTCTTCTGAAACAAAATCTTCATATTTCAAACGCACTAACGTGTTCGATATTTAAATGTTTATGAACAAGAAACGCGTCAGTAAAATGCAAGAAATGTCAGATTGGTAATCAGAATTATGCATCTAAAGACAGCGTCAAACAAAAAAGCGATTCAATTTATTCCGTAGACTGAGCCAAAGTGGGACTTCGTCTAAGTTAATTTGCTCCGACAAACGCTAAACCCGTAGGTTCACTATTAAAAATCAATTCGAGTGGAAAGTCGGGCGACCTTCGGCGGTAAACTTCGGATCGTCTCGGTGCATTGGCGGGAAAAGCAAGGAGCCGCGACCTTTGCCGCCCGATTTCTCACCTTATCACTTTAGTTTAGCTATTCGATGTAAGATGGCGTTGGTTGCTTCACGTCTTATAATTTTACATTGTTAAGATTATTTGCAGTCAATCGGATTTAAGGTTTATCTAGTGGCCGTGCACATTACTGAATTAATTATTTTCATTTATAACTTACACGATATATAGATTACATAATATATATAGTTTATCGCATTATTTGTTCCACTCACCTATAGGTATCGCCCATCGTGGCAATAGGTTGTGGTATGGGACTATACATAGAGTTAAAACCTCCATTGAGAGGAAGCCTCGCTGGGGGTGCGGGGGGAGACGCGGGGGCATCTCGTCTTTGACTTCTCAGCTTCTCTTCGCGACGCCATTTCGCGCGCCGATTAGAGAACCACACCTGTGGAAGGAAGATATTTAAAAATGGAGTCCTTGACTTATGCTATAGTCTATAATTAAACACATATTGACTTAACGTATCTATTGAAGGTAAGATAAATATATTAGTAGATTATTATTTTGGATATTATATTGTTATATATTAACGAATAGACACAACAACGACAGCGTTACAAGATAAGTGCAACTAATTATCTAGGGGTGAAATACTCGCACAATGGACACAGTAACGTTTACGAATTGGATTTTATTTTAGTTTGATTTTATATAACGATATACATAACAATACATATGCAACATAAATATTCACGTCTTTTCTATTTAATTGTATGATATGGTGATATTCTTCCTGACGAACTATAATAAAGAAATGAATGAAAATGAAGATACTGTTTTTAATCCTTATGTATTAATATTAAAACCATTTTCCATTTACTCATTCACTCTTTTGATACGTGGACTTCTGATATATAATTAAGCAATTAATCTTACAATTTAATAAAGTATAAGCGAAATTCTAAGTTCAGTTGCCACAATATTGACATTCAACTGCGTGAAACGGAACGCGCCTCCGGAAGCGTTGCTCACGTGCGCTTCACTTCCGACAGTCATGGCGTAACAATATGGCGCCCGGCATTCCCGCGCTTTTGTTATATTACAAAGCTTACCGAATATTCTCAAATAATCTGGTTTTACTCTAAAATTTATTATGAATTTTAGTAAAGATGTTACTTGAAATACTAATTATAATAGAGAGCGAGAAATGTTTTAAAACTATCCAAGATTTGCAAATATGAAGTTACAAGTCTATTGTTTTATTGTTCCGTTTTTCTTTTTAAAAGTAACAATATCTATGTTAATATTCCCAATTCTAAATAAACCTCTACTATTTGGTATACCTAAAATAATTTCGGGTTTTACCCAGAATTCTGTGAAATAATTTTCTTTTTCCATCGGTAAAATAAAAGGGAAAATTTATACGCTTACAAAGAAGGTCGGTGGGGGCTAGGAGGTAATATGTCATAATATTATTGCCCAAGCCTCGACGAAATCGCGAGTGGCCGACTATATTTTATTTCGTCCCTCGGAAAAGTTCGCAAGGGTCTGAGGGTTCAGCAGAATGGAAAAAGGGCGTACACACACATTTAGTTTTTTGTTATTAGTGTGGTTTTATGTAAAGGTTCAGACCCTTTTAGCATCAGATATTGCATTAGCTAATCAAACGAAGATACAAAACATGCATTACAAAGTTAAGTGATTCGTTCATATCTTACGCAAATATTTTTCTTGGACTAACCCGAACACTGCTCAAAAATTTAAAATAATCTATCAATTAAACCTTCCTTATGTATTTGGACATGATATTTTTAAATATCTTAAAAATAGTTATTAGAATTAAATCTCGACGACTCCCATCTCTGAGGTCGTAGGTTAGATCCCCGGCTGTGCACCAATTCTTTCTTGACTTTCTTTTTAGGAGCACATTTAACATTTGCTCTAATGATGAAGGAAAACATCGTGAGGAAACCGGCTTGCCTTAGACCCAAAAAATCGACGGCGTATGTCAGGCACAGCAGGCTGATTACCTACAGATACAAAAATCTAAGGCCCAGATTTAAAATGGTTGTAGCACCACTGATTTGTTTAAAAGAATTAAATATTATACATATGTCTCGGGTTTACGAAAACTACTTACAAGATTGTTAAGATGATGAAATATTATGACAGTTTCTTTTTATCCAGACATTCAAGTGACAGCGATGACAGCTCGTTTCCCGCCTATGTCGTTCCGTTTTATAAATTGTTACCCTCATAGTTGGGACGAAATAATGTTAGCTCTACTAAATGAGATTTGCCATAATTCTGTTATACTCCCGCCAAGCCACAATTCAATGTTATATTATTGTTTTAACAATTCCTGCAGTATTTTTTATCTATGTTTAGATGCTCCACAGATAATATATGTAAGTAGGTACTTAAGAATTGCGATACACCGCCAACACAAAGTTCTGTTTTTATTTAAAAAATAAACACGATGATGAGTATAACCTTAATAATTGGCAGTTGTAATAATGATATTTAAGTAACATGACCAAAATCGCCAATCCAATATAAAATCCATTTACCGAGCTATACAGAACAGAGGCAAAAATCTATCAAGCCTGAGGTTTTTAAATCAAATACCAACCATATAGAGGTGGCATAAGGTTACATTTTCAATGTTTTCATGTAAAGGCTGTGTGGGTGCCAATTTTTCAAAACACTCCCCTCTTTACAGGAACTTACCACCCCGCGTTTCCTATAGGCTGCGGGATCAATACAACCCCACGTAGGGTGAATATTATTTTGAACATTCCGTAGAATATTTGAATTTATAAACTGCCTTTGAAGGAAATTTTGTAGGTACAGATCACATTAGGTACTTCGTGTAGGCGCTAAATTGCTTTACCTACAAATAGTGAACGGGTTTCCGTCCCTCTGATGTAATTTAATATTTTTCCGAAAATTATGGCACTAGCATCTTGTAGAATATAACGAGTTTCTCACTGATCACAACTCCTGTTAAACAAAAGCGTCGAGTAATGGAAATAATGTAGTTCGCGTTTACTGTTGAGGAGGTTTTATTAAGTTCAGTAAAGTAAAAGCAATAATTAATATTAAAATAGTATCGTATTAAGTAATTCCGTTATATATTTCTAATTATACAACCAATATCCCTGGGGCAACACGTGGTGTCCAAATAAAATACTCCTGAAAAGCCAAAGCTGTGAAATATGGACTGTAAAGCGTTATATTAAAGTTTAATTTCGCCTAAATTTCAATACCTCTAAGAAACAATTTTCATTCAGGGCTGTTGATAAAAATGGAAAAGTTGAAGACAAGGATTCATTCGTATCGATTCATGCCAATGCGTCTTAGTCAGGCAAAATACTCAAAGCCTGTATATACAAAACTGATCAACTGAGTTACGATTTAGTACCCAATTATGTTAGGACCGATTTTAAAAAGAAAACTACTTTTCTTTTTCAATTGTTTCTTAATAAACCTCCTATACCTCTGAGTTTTATAAGTACGCTAAACGAATCTGTAAAGCTTGCAAAACGTGGCTTTTAAGGTTATAAGCACATTACAACTTAATATTTAAGATCTTGAATAAAAACGGTGGTACAGATTAAAAATAATTTAAAAGCTAAAAAAGGTTATAAATAAAAGTTTCACGGCCTACATATTTTCTTAGACTCAAGCACACGAAAAGCATTTTACATTCCATTCATAGGCTTTTGAATGAAACATTTTACATTAATAGATGGCGCCATTGAGCTTTTCATAATATGCAATGTCTTGTATTAAAATTGTATATAAATCTAAATGAAAATTACTGTAATTATTCGTATGCAATTTTCAGTTGCTCGATCTTTGAATATGGGATAAATAAATATTTTATTTAACTAAAGCATTATAAAACCTTGTGCATAATTTATACTTGATCATAAGTTGACGAACAACATCGTGACGAAACCAGCAAGTCTAAAAAAAAAGTCGATCACTAGCTTGTCTTTTTCTATATAATAGGAGACAAACGGGCAGGAGGACACTCACATTGAAAGTAGGCTCGCAAGTGCGTTGCCGGCCTTTAAAAAATTGGTAAAAAAGTCACTCTTTTCTTGAAGGACCCTAAGTTGAATTGGTTCGGAAATACTTCAGTGGGCAGCTGGTTCCACATAGTGGTGGTGCGCGGCAACAAAGAAACGCTCAGTTGTGGAACGACGGACGTCGAGGCGATACGGATGGATTAAAGAAAAAGAATATTGGTTTAATAATATTCCATGATGACATTGAATTCATTAAACAAAAGCCCAGAGACTATAATTTTTATAACGTAAAGGCATTCGTTGGAATACTTTCATAATGAATACGTGTATCGCTTATTAAGAAGTGGGATTTTCTAGAGCCTTCAGCCCTGAATACTCGTTGACCGTGCATAGGGAATGTTAACTAGCAGACGAGAGGTTAATGTGAGTGCTTTGCCTGGATATATGCCAGTATTTTATTCAGTGAAGACGGCCTAAGAAAGAATGACGCGCTTTAAAAGCTTGTATAATCAAAGCTGCGAATATTCTCTGATATATTTATGTATCAAATTATTTGTATAGGCCTTTGCTATAATGTGTAATACATCTCTATATAATATATAAAATTCTCGTGTCAATTTTATAAAAATTTTAACTAAAGTCTCGTTGCCCATACTTTTTTTTTTTTTTTTTTTTTTTTTTTTTTTTTTTTTTCTCTTTTTTTTTTTTTTGTTTTTTTTTTTAAAAAATTTTTTTTTAAAATAATTTTTAAAAATAATTTTTTTTAATTTATTTTAAAAAAAAAAAAAAGGAATAAATTTAAGGGATTTTTTTAAACTATTAAAATTTAATTTTCACCTCCGAAACGGATCGACTGATTCTTATGAAATTGGCGTTTTACTAGTTTGATCATATAATGACACAAGGTCAATGTCGAAAAAAAACCCCCCCGGAAAAAATTATTAGGGAGAAAAAACGTGGAAGAAGCGGACCCCCCCCTTCCTCAATAGTTACCCGAGGACAAAGACTGAGATTCATCGGCTACTATCTATATTTCAAAACCTTGTAAATACCCTATAGTGATTAAGTGTGTATTGTGTGTGTGTTAGTAATTTGGTGATTTAGAAGTTATGTTTATTTAAGGCGAGTCACCTCGTCAAATCTAAGCAGTTTTGCGGGGCATGGTTTGATTTTCTTTTTTTTGAATAAATTTTTTTAAAATATAAAAAAAAATCCCCGCCCCCCTCTCCCCCCCCCCCCCCCCCGAAACGGGCCGACTTGAATTTTTAATGATACAACATACTCGTACATCTGAGAATCGGTACACATACAACCCCAGAAGGGGGGTCCCCCCCCAAAAAATATTTTTATTTTTAGACAATTTTTTTTGTTTTTATTTTTTTATGATACAACATACAAAAATACATATAACCCCTAATTATCACCCCTCTACGATCAACCCCTATTTTTCTTATTGTAGATAGTTATTTTTATTGAACTAAAAAAATGTTTCCTAGAAATAATATACATGGCAAAACAACGTTTGCCGGGTCAGCTATTTTTCTATATAATAAATAGTAATGCTTAGAGAGAGGAATTATAATAAAAAAGACTGTGATTGTACTTAAAAAACACATTTCTGTAATGAATACTTCTGCTGTTTTGTTTATATTTTATCCCCTAAAACTGAACCCAGAACTTTCAACTTCACTTGCATCAACTCCGCTAAAACGAAGGAATTAAAACAAATGAAAGTCGAGCGCTAATTCAATAAAATAAAATTGTTAAAAGCTTGTTGCAATATCGTATTAAGAGCGTTTTAAAACTTGGCAAGTTCAGTGATAAACGATCTTTTAAACTGTTGGCAACACTAATGCGGTGTCGGGTAATGGCACGAGTGCTTTACATGCTCGAATGGACGTACGTTAGTGACGATGACATTTTTATTTAAGTGCTAATATATTTAAAAAATATTTATAATTAAATAAGTGCGCAGTCAACGTAAAGTGTTTTAAAATTTAATAACATTTATTAAATTTCATTGATCAACTAATATTTTGTTAAAGGCTTTGATATGAATAGCAGTCCTTTACTTTTCGGTTAAATTAAAAATACCTGAAGTATTTATACTTTATAGAGTTTGAACTTCAAACTTGAATTCGAATGCTAAGCTGGTGAAGCTTGTGTTATGGGTACTAGGCAACGGATATACATTCATATTATAGATAGATAGACATATAAATACATATTTAAACACCCAAGACCTAAGCACAACACCAAATGCTCATCACATCGATGTTCGTCTCAGCCGGGGATCGAACCCAGGACCCATGGATTCGCAGTCAGGGGTACTAACCACTAGACTAATGAGTCGTCAATATTATTTAATATGTTATTATATTATAAATACTTCTTTTTTATTCGTCGAGACACATATATACTTATTAATTATATTTATAATATTTTATAACTTAATAATTGTCATTGAAAAATATAAACATGTGTAAATGTAAAATTCGAACAATATTCAAAACCAAACATAAAAATCCAAACAATATGGCATAACAAATTTACAATTCCCCAATCGCTATGTTTGTTCAATCTATGTATTACATATTTACACATCGGGCTTATAATATGGCCCTTGTTTTTTTAGTCTGTTTGCTAAAGACGCATCTACATGCGGCCCGGGCCTATATAAACAGACAGTGTAAACACGGCCTTATAAACGCATCCACAGTCCGGTTTTTAATAAAGCTCCCCATTTTTTGGGAGCTGTGAATTAACTTTGATTTTTATATTTAACGCTTCAGGTCTACGCACGACACCGGTTGAGCAATGAACCTACTACTTTGCGTTTTCTTATGACTTATTCCGAGAATGCTTTTTGTGTCCTTTGTGTCCTTGCTAAAAAGGTTTTAACTAACCTTACTTCATTTCGCCCTCCTTGTCGAAGTATTAAGACATTCTACACTCGCAAAATACGTAAATTGCAAGAAATTATATTTTAGTTATTGGAACCTTTAGGGACATGCTGTAGGTTGCAAGGTGCGTTAAATTATGCCAGTTTTAGTATTTAACCAGCGGTAGTGTTAGAGGCATAGACAATATAGCCACCTTACCGCGGCGTAAACTGGATTTTATTTTACCTGGATACGTGCCTCAGGCAATCCAATCTTTTCGGCCAGTCGTTCCCGCGCGAAGACATCCGGGTAGTGGGTGCGCTCGAACTCTGTGGACAAGTGAAAATTTAAATTTCGAATTCGTTTTGCATTCCAATACGAATATTGGTAGAAAGTAGTGGCTTGTTCTCGTTGAATTAAGATAATTATATCTTAATTTTAGATTGTATAGATAATATTATAGAGTTCTCATTCAGATGGATGATTTCGTGAAATGTATTACGAAAATGCCGTGTGCTGCCTTTATGGCTGTAGGCATACACTCAATGTACCTACAGAATTTCGTAAATACGTCCAGTTAATCAAACTTATTTATAGCTTTATATATTAAATAGCCGTTTAAGAGATTGTATTTGCAAGAAAAGTAGTCGGCAAATGGCAAGTGAAAGACAGGTTCCCGTCCAACTTTCTTAACTTAAATTACATCGAACAAAACTCATCAGTAGAGTGTCATAAGAAAAACAATACGAGAAACAAACAAAACCGTATTAACACGGTATAATTGGGCACAATGCCATCTCCCAAGAGGAGAGTAAACACGGGAAAATATTTATTTGCTAATAACAGTTATTGCAAATAATAAATAAAGGGACATTCCCAAATAGGTTTATGAAGTCCCGGGGGCCTAGTGAGTGTTTGATGTCCTTAACTCGGCTTTACAAGTGGTAATTATTAGTTTGCGGGGGCGGTATTGATGTTTTTATTGCTTACCACAAAAATTTTTAATGCAATATCTATGTTGACTGATAAGAGTTAGTCCATCTTAGACTTTGATTTTTAGTTATGGTATTTTTTGCACGCTAATTAAAGTTTAATTACAGACCCCGGAGGCTCTACTGTTGGAGTGGAGCTCACAAACTGTCATCCGCAGTGACCAATTCCGTATATGTTTTTGCTACTTAATTCTGCACCTGAACTGGATATATTTGTGGCAGGTTTGGGAAGTCTGAGAGAGGAATGTAAGACGGTTTTATTTTTTGGAAAGTAATAATATAATTAATTTTTAGGTTAGGTTATTATTGTGTGGCATTTTTTATGCTGTGAATGAATTGAATCTGGATAATTTTACTAGGTATAAATGCTACGTGTACATTTGTATTGCTCATAACTTACTAATAACTATGTTATCAGCCTTTTGGCCTCACTGAAAAATATTGTTTTGACGGAAATCACACGTTACCAACTATAGTCGACACTTATGTCCGTAGCACGTAGAACAAATAGGTGCGGTTAGAGCTACGAAGCTACATTCGTAATCTGGTCTATCGCTACGGTAATACCCTACATGTATTTTTATTATACACAAATGTTATAATTATTTTTATTTATTCGAATTAATTTTAGATCATATAACATAAACATAATGTCATATATATTGTTTATCTATGTTATCTGTTTTGGCTTTCTGTATTGTCTAAGTGTTTTATTTTATAATATGTATGTTAGATGTAAGATTACTAATAATTAATTAAATAAATAAATAATGAAGTATCAGTTGTGAAAGCTTTTAATGTATATATATAACCAAGGTTTACTGAAAAAGTTTTCTGAGCTTACCTTTTTCCAAACTATCTATTTGATCGTTAGTGAAGGAGGTTCTGTTTCTCTGGAGCTTCCGTTTTAGTCTAAGTCTCATTTGGGAGTCCTCGTCACCCGATGACGCATGCTCACTGTTCCCGTCAGAGCCTGCTTCCGACTGTAGCGTGTCTGCTAAAGAATTAAAGCCTTTGAAATAACTAAGCACACCATGAAGGCATAAAGTAGAATTTTAATGACGGGTAAGAATAGGAGCTATGGTGGATAGGCGCAGGAGTCTTAACCCAAAGATTGTGCGTTCATAGCTATGCACTAATGATAAGTTTTTTTAACGTGCCTAATTTAATTTAAACTAATTTGCGAAGAAGAACATGCCTTTCACCAAAAATCTATATATAAGAAAACTTAAGTTAGAAGAAGGTTACAGAAATCTAAAACAAATTGAATAAACAAAATCTTATCTCAAATCAAATCTTTTTAAACTATAGATTGTCTATTAATTACAGTTAAAATCTATAACGTCTTTCAGAGTAACATAGATAAAAAGAATCATTTATCAAATTAAGTTGTTCAAAGTCTTCATCAACTATCAACACACCACTCACATCAGCCAAATGCGTCAGCGAAATTACACAATTGCCCCCCAAAGAACAAAAATACCATCAGTCTGACCCCTTTTCTCCTCAAAAGACTTCCACACAATGGGCCATCCAACCCTGGTTGTTTCCCCTAGAGGGGTGATACACAAAATTAAACGTTACTCGTAATGTCGACATGCCCTTTGCTAATTGATTAATTTGCTTTATGGTTTGAGTACTTGAGTTCGATTCCCGGTACTGTAATGGCCGCACGGATAGCTGACTCCAGTGAATAGAGGGTCTGTTACACAATCTGTCACATTTTTCTGATAGCCCGCGCCTCGTTTATATTGTACGCTTACTCGAAGTAATTGTCATCAATTATATTGCAAAAATGTCTAAAACTTTTAGTAGTAAGCATTTTTAAGTATCAGAGCCGGAAAGCTTTTGTATATGCGTTTTCAGAGGTCTCATCTGATGGAAAGATAGGCCCATGGACACTCAATACCAGAGAGCTCACGAGTGCGTTCCTGGCCTTTTAAGAGTTGGTACGCTCTTTTATGAAGGACTCTGAATTGGTTCGAAAATACTTCAGTGGGTAGTTTCACATAGTGGTGGTGCGCGGCAGAACTGCCTTAACTAACGATCAATTTTAGAAGATGGGTACTGTACAGGTACATTTAATTAATGTAATTTTAACCCTTTAAGAAAAGAGGTATGGTACTCATTTGTATGAAGTTTTAAGACACGAGATCTGCTCATATATTTTCAAGGGTACAGAATAATACTTTATTAAATTAAATTGTAACATTCGGTCTAGTACTAACATTACAACGGACTTGAAAATGCGAAATTTACGAAGATGCGTACTGTACATTTAATTCATGCAATTTTAACCTTTTACGAAAAGAGGTATAGTAATAATTTGTATAAATTTTTAAGACACGAGATCTGCTCATATATTTTCAAGGGTACAGAATAATTTATTCTATTATTTATACTAAATTAATTTGTAACATCTTCGGTCTAGTACTAACATTACAACGGACTTAATAAAGCGAAATATAGGTACATTTATTATTTTTAGTCTTACACTTAGCGAGTGCGGTTAGCAAACCGCCTTTAGATTCATATAAGGTACCTATTAGGATTTATTGTAAGATGTTTCTCAGAGCAGCCGTAACGTAAGCGAGCTACGTAAGTATCTGTGGTCTTTTCTACCCTAACCTACCAAATATCTAAACGCGCATTTTCTTCGCTACATTTAAAATCTTGATACAAAAGTGTGGCAACACTTGAAACCGTTTATTGGCAACATTGACGTCACAAGATTGATGCTTTCTCGGTTGACAAGTTTGATTGATTGCCGCGGTGTGCGCGCCCGATGTCATTTTCAAATGAGACATGGAGGGTGACGCAAACTTAGATTCCGGTGGAAGTCGATTATTTCACAGAGTGAAAACGTTCTGTCTTTTTTAGTTTAGATTATTAACAGCATATATTACATATACATTACTCTTATGTTTGTAAATATTTCTGCTATTTAGAACACGGTTTTGTAGCATTTATGGATACATATTATCATTACTCTCAAACGAAATATAAAAAAGATTTGTTTCGCGTAGTTAACACACATACCTTACTACGCAGGTATGTATGCTAAAAACCAAAATTAGTAAATATATTTCTAAATAGGCCATTGAAAATATCTGCTTTTGAGACGCTTATTTTTTTTTAGTTAAACTGGCTTAGATCAACTTTATCTACAGGAATACGTGTGTAATGTTTAATAATTAATAAAAATGCTTTAATATATATAATATATAAAATAGATTCCGTTTACGGTCGTAATTTGAGTTAGTTTAGGTTTAAAATGTAATCACTCCAATAAACAGACACAACACTTGTTTTTTAAATCCTATAAAAAATGTGCATAATGTCATATTGTCTCATACTTTTATACACACATGTGTGTGTAAATGCCTTAGTTTATATGGTTAGCTGTGGATTGTATTGTATTTTATGTAAACTTTGAATTAAACACTATACCAAGAAAAGTTTATTAAATATATAAAGGAATTCAAAATACATAACGATCTAAAAAACCTACGAAGATCGAAGAACGTTCTAATAACAACGAGCAAACACGTAATATATTGAATCGTACACTCGCGGGAGATATATACAATACATAATTTTGAGTAGTTATATCAGTATGTATTCTTACTTATGACATAGACGTTCAACTCTAAGAAACAATTGGTACCTTTCACTTCAGTGTACTTTCTGATTAAGTTAAATTTTAGTTGTAAATAGCGTCACACAGAAGAAAGATCACGAAAAATGCGCAGGTGTCGGGTATTTTTGTAAATGAATTAATTTGTTTTTAGACGAACGGATGAAGGTTTATCTGATGTTAAGGACACACAGCCAGAAGGCTCGAAAGTGTGTTGCCAGCCTTTAAGAACTGGCACGTTCTTTTCTAACATTAAGTCGATTGGACACTATCAATACTAGAGGGCTCGCAAGTGTGTTGCCGGCCTTTGAGAACTGACCCGCTCTTTTCTAACTAAAGTCGATTGAACACTCTCAATGCCAGTGGGCTCGCAAGTGTGTTGCCGGCCTTTGAGAATTGGCACGCTCTTTTCTAACCCTAAGTCGATTGGACACTCTCAATGCTAGAGGGCTCGCGAGTGTGTTGCTGACCTTTAAGAAAGTCAAATTGGTTCGAAATTACGGTACCTATGGCTTTAAAAAGCACTAAGAATCAAATATTATATACCTATGTGCCATACGTAAAAGTTTATCATATTAAATAAACGTTACAGTAGATCAACGTAGAAATATTAAAATCACTACCAGAGAGTGTAATAAAAAGAAGATAAAAAATTGTGGAAATAAGGAGACGCGATAGAATTGAAGCTATCGGAGCGTGGACGCGGTTGTCGGGGGCGATCGCTGGCGAGCGATTATGTTAGATCGATACTGTCACTCAAATCGCCTGTGCAAAGCATAAGCGGTACTAAAACTACAAGCGGTGGTCTCAAATCAACAATATTTGCACATAGGCTTTGATATTTTAGTTTAAATCTGAAATATTGTTTAAGTATTGATATTTTTTTTAGATTTAAACACATATTACAGTCAAAACCCTTTACGACCACATCGTTTAGTACAACATGCCGGTTATATTGACGATTCGATTGATCGGTTTTTACAACCAAATATGAGTTAAGTCCCTACAATGACTGTAATTAATTTATATAACAATAGTTAACAGTATAAAGGGTTATTAAATTCACTCGGGTTTTATTAACTAACGCCACGTTTATATTAAATCGTTGGTTAATTTAATAAAAATAAATTCCGCGTTTACACGCATTAGCTTGTCACTTACGGATGGCCTTTGTCGCGACCTTCTTCGGCCGGACAAGACGCATTTCGCCTAATTCGGCACGCTTCCGCAACTCAATATAAGGAGGACCTATTTACCGCAACATAAAATTACTTTTATGTTCTTTTAGGGAAAATCTAAATACAATATTATGTAGGCAATTCTCTATAAGTTTATTAGACCTTACTTTCGATATAATTCTTGAATGAGAAAAGACGTTTAGATTATCGAAAAGTAATTACAATTTTGAAATTACAATTCACCACTCAATTGCATATCCCATTCATCGTTCATCGTTCATAACATCTATCAAACAGCTACTAAGCGCCTTATTTATTACAATTTAATGACATGTCATTCCCGCCCTTCACCCTTATTTATAATCAAAGATCAGCCATTTAGACAAGATCTCTCCCAACTTGAACCGTATTGCTAATTCCACACACTTTACGAGCGTCGAGGGAAAAACTAGGGTCACGGTTAGTGGTTACTTGTAATCAAGAATTCGCTTTATTTTGGGGTCATCTAAATTACTTAGTTGGGGCAGATAATGTTTAGTTTTTATTGAGTAGAGACCATTACCAGACTTAGTAATAATTACTGATGGTTTTAATTTCAGGACAACACACGAGGGTTATTTACAAGGCAGCGAACATTTATTACCTTAGTATTAAATCCATATAATATTTAACCATTTTATGATGTTTAATGGTATGCATTCGCTAGTACCATAAATTACACCCCATTTTTTAAATTTAGAACAAAAACAAGATCAACAATAATAAAAGGTATCGATTTCAAATCAAACAGTGTGTGCAGCGATGCGGAAGCGGTCTGCCCATTAACTTTGCAACACGTGCTACTCCGTCGAGCACACTTTCGATTTTAAAGTCAATTGAACTACATTCACTCTTCGTTCAATTAAAACGCTATTGTTTCATTCACTCATTCATATCGTTCACGAGTGTACTTCAAATTGAACGATTGTGTAATTGATAGTTTGTCGCCTTGCTGCGTAACCCTATTGCTAATAACCAGCTGCAATTTTATTTAATAATTAAATTCTCCATGAGACATATATCCAAGAAATACTTTTACTTGGCTAAGAATATATAAAACAGTGTTCTATATATGGGTTGTGAACTTGGATAATGAGCAAGTAAAATTTGTTAATTAAATAATTCGTACTAAAATGGTTGGTAAATAATCTGTACCAGTAGCTAACGTATACTTTTGGTGCGATTTGTATGAATTATCGTTAGTTCTATACATTGTACCTCTGTAGAACGTGGTACGACAAGGTCGTAATATTTAAAAGTACATAATGAGGCACCGAAGCGCTAGTATATTAATAATAATAATAAGCCATTTATATCAGATAGCTTTTGCACTTAGGCACTTTTATATTGTGTTTCATGTCGATACTGTTTAGATCTGTGTGCCTTATTGGCAAAAGCTTTTCCAAATTCGCTATATATATGCCATGTACCAATTCCTGTTCGTTAAGCTGGTTTTCATAAAACCTTTCTCGAGAAAATGTTTTCCTTTTTTAGCGTTTATTGATCAATTGGGCACCAGTATAGGATATTTCTTGATCGACTATTTAGTTCAACCTTGCCGTGCCCAGCATTTTCACATGTTATAAAACAAAACGAATGAAACGCAATTTGATATATATTTATTATTTCCTACGCAACATGTTTTCATAAAACCTTTCCGCTGGATTTTAGGTATTGATTCTTTTATGCAATTTATTATAACCAGTTAGCTAAACCGCCGTGCATACTGTCACGTTTATTTCTCTAGTAACCATGTACACATGCAATTTGTGTAATTATGTTTAAAGCTATTCGCGGTTAGCTGTTATTCTATAAGTTTATTTCTCTCAGATTAAATGAAAATTAACCCAAATTAAAGTTATTCAAGGACATTTAGAAAACATAATTAACGATTTGAATGTTGTCCCTAAATTGTTAATAAACGTATATTATAAAAAGAGCAGTGTTGGCCTAGTGGCTTCAGGGTGCCACTCTCATCCCTGAGGACGTAGGTTCGATCCTCGGCTGTGCACCAATAGACTTTCTTTCTATGTGCTCATTTGCTCGATCGGTGAAGGAAAACATCGTGAGGAAACCGACACGTCTTAGACCCAAAAAGTCGACGGCGTGTGTCAGGCACTGGAGGCTGTTCACCTACTTGACTAGATTTAAAAATGATCATGGAATAGATTCAGAAATCGGGGCCCCGCCCTAAAGAGGTTGTAGCGCCACTGATTTATTTATTTTATTTTATATATTAGATAATGGAAGACTCTGAGGCCAACTCTCAGTTGCAAATTATCGTTATCGAAGGAAATACGCAGATACAATTCTAGGCTTTTTTTCTTTAGAATTTGTCGGTTTTTGGGTCTAATATAAGAATCAAAGTCAAAACTTAGCGCTAGGAAAACATCCATATGTCAACGTATTGGATTTCTAACATGCATATTTATATATATATAAAAATGTTTTGTTGGTTTGTGAGCTGAAATTTTTAGCATGATTCATAATTGTCATCAAGAATTGTTTTTATCTATTTTTTTTGTTTATTTTTATTTTTTCATTGTTTTTCCACAAGTATTGCAAAATTAAACTTATATGAAATGTTTTCTTTGTTTTGACTCTCATTTCTCAACCATTTAATAACAATGTGCCACAGCGTAGCGTGGCGGGGAACAGCTAGTATTATTACATACTTCATACTCCTAATTGCGTACAAAATAGTCAGTTCGTAGAAACGGAATAACACAAAACAGAAATTTAAAAAAAAACACTGGAACGGTGAAAAAATCCTTGTCCCCACATTTCTGTATCTGTTTCGTGATAATTTTCTCCTAATAGACAAGTAGGTGATCAACTCGTGTGCCTGACAAACACCGACATTTGGTCTTAGGCATGCCGGTTTCCTCACGATGTTTTCTTTCATAATTAGATAAAGCAGGGTTAAATTTTTGGCACGGCCAACGCAAAATTGCTGTTTCTTGTCACGTGTTGACGTCTGAGTGCTAATTTAGACGGCAAAATTTAATGCTTGAAATTTTTATAACATATACATAGACAACTGACTAAACAATAATTACACATGTACCTGTACACGCTCTAAGACTTAATTATAAATGAGCAGGCTATATTTCTAGAACGCGGGCTAAAAGATGGACTCGAAACAACGAAATGGACTGGACCTACTGGAAAGAGATGAATAGACAAAAGAAAAGACGGACAGATGACGTACTAAAACTAGCGGGGGAAAACTGGATGAATGTTGCTCAAGACAAAAAGAAATGGAAATATGGAGGAGGACAAATAATAGACAACTAAAAACTCTAACATAAATTTTAGCTGCCATAGGGGCCAAACTATTTAAACTTGTTTTAATTTTATTTTTATTAATTTTTTATTGTTTATATTATCACCTACATATTAAGGTTAAGAGAACTGTAAATATTGTATATTTGATTGTTATGCTTAGGTTTTATTGCTAAACTTACTTTTTTATTTAAATGTAGGTATAGATCAAATACTAACACAACTAAATTTATTTAGTTAGTATAATACTCATATTTAGGAATATGAACTATTCATTAATAAAACTTTAATAACACATGAACAATATATTAAATTTAATTATAACCTCTTAATTTATATCGACTAAAGAGCTATATTAGTTACACACACATCGTAATGTGCCGATGGACAAAATGTTTGAGGTTAGAACAAAAGCTATAAGCAAGTTTAAGGATGTCTAAACTGAAGTGAAATCATTAAATTGTAATCTCATTAACAATGTCTCTCACTTGAAATACCTACAAGATAATTATTTACAATTGGAGCAGCCTGAATCTCGTTATTTCACGGAAATAACAATAAGACTTCAGTTCTGATTTAGTTCAGAAAGTTATGCCTTTTATTCTTTAAATGGGACTTACGAGGGAGGACGACATTATTTTCATGTATTTTCCAATGTTTTTATCTATATATTAGATATTCGTGATCCAATCGAAGCGTTTTTATTGTATTTATTACAATATACGAGTATTATATTGTATCGACTCTGTATTAAATTGGATAAAAATAATTTTTAACAACATTTATGTTGAATTTAATATTTATCTACATACACTACTGTATTTAATAATTTACGATAAATTTGCACGGCATTTGTGTGGCAGAATATGTGAAGTTTAGATTGTACACCATAATATAGACCATATTCTTGAAAATAAATTATTAATATTATAATATTGAAGTTTAGTGAAATATTATTACCGAGAAAGAGATTCCTGAATAACAAATAGCTATGCTGAAAATAAAAGGTAAAAGTGCGGACAAGATCTCGCGTCAAAGAGAAATGGAAAAACGACATCTTTGCGACGGCTGGCGACACAGCGCCCCTGCAACTTCCTTATATTCCCTACGCGTATCTTTGGTTGTAAATGTGCTGTATTATGTACTACTAGACAGATAGAGGTATGAAATCGAATAACTTATATGTCATATACGAAATAAATATGTTAATATATATTTATCTCCATTGAATTGCGTTCAAAAAGATTTTAATTGTTCTCTGTTTGATATATATATTTTTGATCTGGGTTTTTTTGTGCTAACTATATTATAAACTGTTCGTAAAAGCAAAAGGCAGTGTTATATGAAAAAACTTCTTGAAGTTTAACTAGTGATTCAATTTTAAATAGATTTCAAACTAAAACACTACGTAAATTATATCGCTTAACAGTCAATGATAATGAGTTCGTGACCTTTGTGCGGTGAATGACCCCAAATTTAATACAACGATTGTCACCTGTTTTTATCAGTATAAAACAGTGTTTATGTTTTTCATAGATATCTTCTAAAGACGTTCCGCACTCAGAGACGTTCAATAAATCATCTCTAATAGTAAGATGTTTTAGTTGAATTCAACACAATTTAAATTCTTTTCTATTAATAGCCTGATTAGTTGATGACTGATGAGTAGGGTAACAAAACATTTTATCTTATCTTATTTGTTTATTTGTATCTTGATGACCGACTCTGAGAGGCTGTTTATCTAGAATATTATTCAATAAACCAGTAGGCATACCTCGTTTATGTTCTTCCGTTGGTCTATTCAACTGTGGTGGTAGTGGGGCTGGGATGGTAGGTGCTGGTGCGGTGGGAAGACCAGGGTACCACCAACCCGTCGCCGCCTGTCCATTGAACATACGTAGTTTCTCATATACACTGTCGTTCTGCGCAGACGCAGCTTGCTCTTTCTGTGATGCCAGGTTCCTTAATACGCGGTTTATCGATGATACCTGTTGAATGGTTTATAAATAAATACCATCTCATGCATTATTTATACATGAGAAGAGAAGTAGGTAGGTAGGTAGGTAGGTAGGTAAGTAAGTAAGTAAGTAGGTAAATAAGTAGGTTGGTATGTACGTAAGTAAGTAGGTAGGTAGGTAAGTAAGTAATCGCCACATATAAGCCTTACAAACAATAAACTAGATAGGATACCTATATGCTGCAAACTTAGAATTCGTTATTTAGTTACTAGTTTTTCTTTACGTACACTTGCGGTTAGCGAACCTCTTACCAAAGAATTTTTGTTTAAATATATTGTATTGGAATAAAAAATATACAACGCTAACAAACATACATATATGTACATCTCATTCTTATTCATATCCCCTTAATCAAAGTACATCCAGTAAACAACTATTTAATGGGAAACAAATTGCGTACCGCCCTAACTTCCAAGCAGGTCTAATTTAAAATTTAATATGATTACTAAATTCCAATCGGGAGCCTCAAAGGGACACAGATTAGGGCATTCCCTCCCCCCACCCTTCACCCCTTCAGGGCCTAAAAACCCCAATATCCATCTACTTTCGGCGAAAAAGCACGCATGCGTAAAAACCTGACACACGTATTCTATTACATAGTATATGTGGCCCTCCCTAGATAATATCTATGTTTTAAGGTTGCTATTGGCAACGGTGGAATAGTTTTCCGATGTTGTAAGGTAATTTGATAACGCCAGGATTTGGTGGAATCGTTTAAATTCCATTATCTAATTTTACTAATATTACATTAAAAACCGTAAAAAGTTTGCAGATATATATATAAAAAGTTGTGTGTGCTTCACAGTTAGTCAATAAATTTAACCTTAAATTACGTATAAATATAATGATTAATTAATTACAATACTCCGATACAGCTTTCAATAAAGTACAAATTAATTCGAAATGGAAATCAAAATGGCGCCCATATTGGAGCAAATGTAACACCGGTGGAACACCGGTCCGATAATCCCCTGTACCACTAATGGAACCTTTCCGAAATTGGACAATATAATAGAACAATCGCAGAAAATACCACCTCATAACGGAAATAGATTTATCTACTTAGTTTCAAAACAATTAAATTCTCTATTTTGGCACTGGGAAGTTGTCTATGCGATTAGTATAATCAGTTAGCTATCGATACCAGAACGGGCTTACGCCATAGATTTTTATATAAGTAAGCACATTTGCCTTTATAGTCGAAAAATATCTATTTATAAAATATAATAACAAACCGTTAACTAACAAGAATTAAATATTAATTACTATTATCACTAATCCTTTAATCCTACTCAAAAATTCCAACTCGATTTAAAATTGCCAATAAGAGAAGCGCAATTCAAACTTGTTCTGCGACTGACAGGCCAAAAGCCAATCAGATAGAACTGAATGCGTGTTCCAATTTGAAATTTAAATTTTTCAAACACGATAGACCGAGCTTCATTCTTACCAACATACACCTATAAAATATTTTTTAAAGTTAGAGTCCAGTCTTATAAGTTTTGTAGAGCAAAAACTTTTTAACAAATTAAAAAGAAAGCACTTAGAACGTTTTGTAAGTAAGGCCACCGTATCAGTGGCCAGTGATGTGTATAAAAGCCCGAAAACTTCCGTCAGTCCAGGAGTACGAGGGTACAGGGGTGTTAACGGGATTTTAAAAAAGTAAAGGGCGTAGAGTGTTTAAATATGTATTTTTATTAACGTTTTATTTCGAGGTTCTATGATTATCGTAAAGAGAGCTTTGCTTTTTAGTCGCTCAAATCATATGTGTTCACTTAAAAATAAATTTATATATTTTAATTGTTTCTTTTTAGATGAGATGTTACAAAAAACACGCCGCTAACTCGTGAACCAATGTTTCGGAAACAACAAGTTTTATCTTGAAATTAATAAATATTTATTACTTAAATGTTTTAGCTAATAGTGTGATGGAGTAATGAGCCCCGAAACAAGCAAACTACCGAAATCCATCTTCTGTAACCAGACACTTTCAAACTTGTGACAGATCAGCGCGAGCCAGTTAAGCAGTATTGTATCACGATAAATAACGTTTATATTTAAATAAGCCGATGAAAGGTCTAAACAAGTATTTTAGAATTCTTTTCAAATTTAAAAATCGAACATAATGACGGATCGGTTCCGAACTAATGCGATGAACGGAGTAGGTACAAGAATTAATTTGGCGCAGTTTTTAAATTATTATACGTCCAATTTCATTCTCGATCTTTCTTGATAAAATGTGTATGAAACAATTTAAAAATTAAAAGACTAATTCCATTTTTGAAAAATCTAAAGTTGATACAAAAATTCATTCCAAGAAGGTTAATTGATCATTTCTCCCGGGCGTTCCCGCGTCATATTGACAGTTGACAGGTGTCAATTCAGGACGTGCGCGCGCACCTCATTACCCCAGACACGGGAATAGATCATAGAGATAGTGCGAGATCTGCCATTAGGTGGTCTCGTGTGACAACATAGAACAAAAGAGCCTATCGCCTATTAGACCCTGTCTGCTTAATTAGCTATAGGCCTGTATATTAAATCGATCGTTAAATTAACAAGGACGGTAGATAATTGTTCGCTTCGTTACAAATTGAGTAAATTCTTAAGACACGGGACTTAGGACTTCATCTGGGTATAGCTTTAGTAATAGTTTCAGGGACTAATTTTTAAGTATTATTATTTTAAGTATATTTGTCTAAATTTTCCCTGTCCTGTGCCACCTGCCGCCAATTGCTGGCTTTTCCTCCACTCTGTCGATCCAGTGGTACCTAGGCTGACATACGGGACTCCGACCACTAGGCTGGTACACGTAAACCTCCTTCACCCGATCTTGGCCCATGCGCTCCAGGTGCCCCAGCCAACGATGGGCCATGGAAGATGCTTATATCGGAAACCAAGACACTTTTTGGGTCGCAGAACCAGCCATGTATACCAAAATTCATTTAGGTTCATTAGTGTAAACCGGGAAACTGTCCGTCACACTTCGGAGTTTATGATTTTTTTATTAAAAATATATTGGGTTAATATCGTGAATTTTAATAGCGATCAATCATTTTAAATACCAGTGGAAATATAAGTTAAATATTAATTGAAACATGTAAATTAATTACCTTGCTTATTCAACGCGTCTACAAATTACATGCGATTATTTCAATAATTACATTTTAACAATATTTGTACATTTCTCCGTACCTTATAATATTCAAACACTTGAATGTCTTAAACGGCAGGGCTACTCTATGAACTGATTCTCATTTCCTTAATTGTTTTGAATTAGTTCTGAGTTTCGTCTTTCGATGTAGTTTAAATTTACGTAGCGCTGATTTTGCACACTTAAAGTGGTCCGAAAATTTAATATTGAATTACGTGGTAACCTAGCTCGGTTTAGAATTTACTTAACCATACAAAATCTACAACCTAAAACTGATTTCCCGTTCTCCACATTCAATTCTAGAGTAGATTTTTAATGTTTAATCTAAGTAAAAATTCATAAATTGTCAAGTCCCCGGAAATATATGCCACTTAAAATTTGTATTTATTACACTTTATAACACTAAAGAACCTTCTTCGCATTGGTCATAGCAATGTCGATTAATGGACTAAGCGTTATCTAAAGCCGCTACAATTTGGTCATAATGAACCCTGAAAACCGCATTCAAACTATCCAATCTCAGCGTCCTGAGGGATTTGCAAAAACGCACCCCAAAGGTATTTAGTGGGGGTGCAAACCCCTATGAACCGCGGGTCTCCGCGGGTTAAGCTAAAATGTTTATAGATACCAAAGCACCACAGACCCCTTACTGATGGAATTTGCCCCAATATTGTCCGGATATTTGTAAGATTTTCGGCAGAAGAGACACGCTTTCTTCTTCTGTTTTAGTCCCCGTCCCTAGTCCTAGATGTGACAGTTTTTTTATACATCGTCTCTACGCTGAGATATGGAAATTACGATCTAGCCTAACTATTTTAACTTAATAAAACAAAAGAAAGTGACCAATATGACTACTTACAATCTCTAATATAGAGAAGACAATCTGTTCTTGTGTTCTATATGAAAGAAAGAAAGGAAGAAAAAACTATGTACACAATATACAGGATATTTAGGTAAAGTTAAGTGTACGAGAATTCCCTGTGTTGTGGGCATCCAGTCTCTTCCTTTTGACATGTTATCAGTACTTTACTTTATGATTTCTACATAACAAAAATTTATAATTAAACTACCTATGATTGCACAATAAGAATATTTCCTGAATCAGCATAGGACAGGTTGACAAGATATTGTTTGAGATTTTTATGTATGTAATGTGAGTTTTGAAATTAGCGATATTTCTTTTTAAGGAAGTGGTTAAAAATGAAAGGGCCTCGGAAGGAGAAAAACTCGGTCAATCGTTGGTCGAAGAAAGTGCATGTTTTGGGTTGCTTATCTATAGGTTTGCGTTGTGTTTGATGTGGTGTGGCGGGTCTGCATATTGCTACTAAGTATAATAAGTTCAGCACTTAACGTAAAAAACATAGGTGACAGAAGTACCTAATTGTTTTAAAAAGTATTGATTGAATCGGATACATTGCCTTGTTTGTATAACATGTCTTAAAGTGATCTAATTACTGTGCGTGCCGAAACGGCAATGTTACACCCGAAGCCTCCGAAATGCGACTCGGTAGCGTTTGGGTGGTGTCGGGTTGCGCCCTACATCACAGCGTAATTCAGGATGTTTACCTATTCCAGGGAATTTAATATAATAAATAGTTTATGTTAAATTACATATATTTTTTAATTTATTTATTTAAGACACAATTTTCAGACGTCCTAAAATTACACAATGATTTTGGAAGAAATATTTTAAAAATACCTATGTGATTCTTTTTGGGCCTATTAATATATGACGATTGCAGTGTAAAATAATGACCTGTCATCTCTTTCTAAGTGTTATTAACCAAACAGTCATACCTATAGGTAATAGAATCTGGATTCTGGAAAGAGCTTAACTGGCTTAATTATAAAATAAATAAATCAGTGGCGCTACAACCTTTTTAGGTCTGGGCCTTAGGTTTATGTATCTGTTTCATGATCATTTGTCAATCAAGTAGGTGATCAGCCTCTTGTGCCTGACACATAACGACTTTTTGGCTCTAAGGCAAGCCGGTTTCCTAACGAGTAACGATGTTTTCCTTCACCGTTCGAGCGAATGTTAACAGCGCACACAGAACGTCCATCGCTGCGCAGCCGGAGATCGAGCCTACGACATCAGGGATGAGAGTCGCATTCTGAAGCCACTAGGCCAACACTGCTATTGGAGATCTGCGCTGGTTTAATTAGCCAGGACTTTACGAAAAACGGACCAAATAGGCGTCTTAGTGTGGAAATTGTGTCGACTCAACATACATAGGTAATAGAATGTTGAAACCCCTGAAGCCCGGAAAGAATGTTGCCTAGCAATTGAGCGAATCTATCTTTGGGCAAGAATCATAAAAACACTTTAAGAAATTCGAGGATTATTCTTCTAGCAATTTTTATATCTATAAGTAATTTCTAGAGTTTGGAGTTACCCGTCAATTGCTATGCCATAAGCACTAGACGTTAATCCCGACTGAGAGAGAATAACGGGTGCTTATGAAGAATTACTATGCGTGTGAGTGGGACGACAGATGTTCGGTCCACTCACGCGTGAAACGTGGCATTATAGTGGAACGCGGGAAGAAAAATGACGTATGTTTTCACTTCAATGAGTTTAAATGCATTGAAGGTCGTGGTATTGAACGCTGAAACTTGAAAAATAAAATGTTGGACAAGATTATAACAACTCTTGATATCAGGGATGTATCTAAAGGATTGTACGTGTATACTTGTACTGAAAAACTTTTATACTTACGAAAATAATAGGAGTTTTTTAATTAAATAATATTTGTAATTGATTTTTTTAGATAATAAAGTATCATCCACACTAAAACCAAATCAACAAAGTAATCCAGACATACCAAACCGACATACGTCATTCTTCCACCGCGCCACAATCGATTGTTCGTTATTTTTGTACGCTCTCAGTTGGTAAGAAACATCACGCCCATTCGACCGTTATGACTACGAAACGCAACTGACAATAAACACCTATCTCTTTCTGACGTACGTGAAAATGCATCTAACTGTTCACCTATTTGCCCAGTGGTGCGGGTGCGTGCGACAGTTATAAAAATAGCCCCTTCGGCGCCGAATCTTCTTTGAGGGTGAGGGCTTCAATTTTGTCTTATAACTATGTTATACAGAGGTGTGGTTTCGCTAATATGATGATTGTACTCAAGATTTCCTACATAGGTTCCTATATAATGCTTACGTATTACGGGTCGTAGGATTTTTATTTTGCATAGTAGGTACCTACCTATAGTAAGTGCTTCTAACGTTATCTTAGAGATTTGGAATTTCCTTCAAAATCCGATTGACCAAATTTCAGAAAAAAATAAACGAAATATAAAGATTATCAATGTCATTTTTAATATCTATTAATAACAGTAATTACTTATGTAGTACCTACTACAATCTCATAGACAAATATACAAGATAACACGTAGGTACGCAAAAAAAACAAGTGCCGAGCGATTGTCCATCAAAAATAAACTTCGATTGTTAAAACAAAAATCGAACATCGACTTTAATTATACGATCGAAAAATATTGCGTACTCGAATAAAGTCATGCGAAGTGACACGTTGGCTAATCGAACGTGACAACGGGACATCTGCCGCGAACAAAAAATACCGTGATATAGGCACCTTGTTATATATTTTTTCTATCGAAAATTTTAAATTTGCGTCTTTGTTGATACACACGCTGCGGGGGTGTTTGAGATTTAATTTAAAAATGGAATATTTTGACATTGATTTTAATAGTTTAAATGCTGAGGTGTTCTGTGGTTGGTTCATAGATTTGTAATCTATGAAATCTTACATAGAGAATTATAATGTAGAAATACTCTATTTTTGTAGTTTAGAATATAAACAGCGTATATATTTAGACAATATTCCAGCGAACCATAGACAAATAAAATTATTAAATACCTATGTATTAATTAACTGCTATTTTAATATATACTTTACCCCGTAGTTTAATGTAGTTGGAATGCTTGACGGTCCCGGGATGGCTTCCCGGCGAAATAATTACTAAATACAGGCTCAGCGTCATATGTTATAATAGAAATAAAAAAAAACGTGTGTATACTTATGTACACGCGTTAGAAGTAATACTTCTTTGGCGTAACAAGATAAAAATCTTTTCAAAAATGTTATTCTACGTTTGTAGAAAAAACGACTCCAACACTAGACGATAGAAAAAACTAAAATGTTGACTATAGCTAACTTCAGTGTCAGTTTTTTGTGACGACGTGCGCTTGCATCGTAAAAATTTACTCTTTTAAATTTTCCCTAACGCTCCAAAAGAAGTATAACTTCAAAAATTTATGAAACACTACTTATCCAGAGCTTGACGTATTCGGTAGTGACCTGATTAATTTAAAAGAAAAAGCATTGTTAAGTCTTAATTTGTGGTTCCATTTATGTTTACCATAATTGTCATATAGATATAGCATTACGTATAATATTATGAATTTTAATAAATAAAAAAAATAATGTCAGCTGATGCTACATCAGACTATTAACGACTTCAACAAAACAGTCTCATAAAAACAGCCTTGAGTTTATTAACTTTGCAATTTTTGTCAAATAAAACGGTTGTCATCGTAAATTTATGAACTCTCAATAATAGACAACGATTTGTATAGATGACAATAAGTTTGAGTATAGAAATTATAAGGCCGCGTATAGAATGGTCAATGTTCCGTCAAAGGCCCCGAACACAATAGGCCCGCGTTGAAATACCAAACATATGCTCGAAACCAGAAATTTTATGTCGCAAAATTGGATTAAAAGGCACATTGTTAAGAATCTGACCGGCTTATTTGAAGGGCGTCACAATGTATGCCAATTTAATTAAATTCATCGTGTTTTGACATATTTCAATTGGCCATACTATTGACGTGTCAAGGTGAACGACATTTATCTCAAGATGTACATTTCAAAATTCGAACGGCACAAAGAGTATGTATGGTTTGAGGATTCTATTTTCAAAATAATGCAAGTAGTTGATATAGGTAGAAAGAAGCTTTTGGCAGGTGAGATGTCTTAGGTAATATAAATTATTAAAAGCTCTAATAATCATTTCATTACTACAACATCAGCAATAACATTTATAATGATCCCTATATACATTTCCAAACTAATAAATCAGATGCTCCGGCTGATCATAGACAAGTTTTTTTTATGTAATAGGAGGCAAACGGGCAGGAGGCTCATCTGATGTTAAGTAATACCGCCCATGTACACTCACATTGCCAGGCTCGCAAGTGCGTTGCCGGCCTTTTAAGAATTGGTACACTCTTTTCTTGAAGGAAGTCGAATTGGGTTTGCCTAATATGAATTTTAAAAACTGTAACGTTGCAATGCAGTATTTTGTACCATGATAAAATCTGTAAGGTTTGGCTGGGACGACTTATAATTTTTTTATTATTATTATATATAAATACTTATACCTTGATGATATAGTAGATTTATTGATTCGATTGAAGGGGAAAAAAGCGCACTAAAATAAGCTGGTTAGAACTTAGAAGATATACCTAGAAGCGTCAGCCGGGAAGCGAATGGAGAAAGAAAGCAGATAGAGAAAGTTACGTATCTCGTTTAGTCATTCTTGTGTAATTATTAAAGACAGTCCATGGCTGATGTACCGATTTATTGCAAAAATATGCAAAAATTGGTCTATTGTCATGTGGTACTATTGGGAAACATGGCGACAGACAATGGCTCACCAATTTGGTGGATGGGCCCCGAAACGCTTGCCAGATTATTATTATAATTGCTGAGCCAATGTCCTAGTTAACAATCATACAAACGTTTTCAAATATCATTAACACAAATAAAAAATAGTACTTACACTAGGAATATTGTCATTATTGCACACGTTTTCACTCAGCAAACGATCTCTGATCTCCCACGCAAAGATCGAAGGGCACTCCCGCTTGTAGTCCGCGATTTTCTGGACAACGGGGGTGGTCGCGACCCGCGGTTTTGACCCGCCAATCGCTCGGGGCTTTATTGACCCCGTCTCGTAATACCTGGGTAGAGAGAAAGTATGAACTTAGCTTAGGAACGCATGGACCGATTGACATCGAAATTTATTTCCAATTGTTTCGATGTTTTTATCGATCCACACGTTCCCAGCTCAAGCAAATTTTTCACATAGTGGTTATGTTTTAGTTAATGAATCTCAACCTGTTAACCAGTGGCTTTGAACACCCGGCTGGAGGTTGGGTAGGGCCCACGAAATACCTGATCATGAAAATTATACCCATAAGTGTGATGTTATGAAAATATAAAACCTCCACCGTTAAACATATTCCATATTTACAATACTTATTCATTTGAACAACTTGTTCGATTTTTAAAAAAATTGTTAAGTTCTATGGGCGCTTATTATTTAATACTCTGTGCATATTATTTTCTGTGATCTTGTCTATACTTTTAAACTACATAAGATAAATTTGGCTTAAAGGTCTCGTTACCAGGCCATAAAATTATTAAAAAAAAAAAACATAAGATAAATTATTTAGAATGTGTTTATTGTCATCTAAAACGTTTTCAGAACATCTTTCACAGAACATCCCTTTTTAAAACCTAATTGAAATTGTATAAATGGAGCACATTTCAACAACTCAAAATCCACTCGTACAGCATTAGCGGACAATTACAGACATAATCTCAAAACTATCCCCTCACTCGAGTACCTATACAAACACATTCGCAAATAACAAACTTATTTCTAACTAAATTTAATGTAATCACTCGAAAATGAATCCTATTTTGAAAACTATAAGAGTTAAATGCCCTTGAAGCTGTGTAGCTGTATTCTGGTATCGGATGTACTCGAATGCCATTGTTGCTATCGACATGTGTCGATATTTAGGACGTTGAAGATACAACTGTCGATAAATATTATTCGTTATAAGGATTGTGATTTTATGAATGAATGTTGTATCGGCAAATTAAAAAAGTTTTTTTTTTAATCTTTTGCATTATTATTAGATATTTTATTAACGACTTATATCTGTGTATCTAAATATTTAAGCACTAAAGATATACTTTTTAATATTTTAAAGTGAGGCTAATAATAAAAAATAAATCAGTGGCACCACAACCTCTTTAGGTCTGGGCCTCAGATTTCTGAATCTGTTTCATGATCATTTTTCTTTCTAATAGGCAAGTAGGTGAACAGCCTTCTGAGCCTGACACCGGCAGGCCGGGTTCCTCACAATGTTTTCCTTCACCGTTAGAATGTTAAATGCGCACATAAAAAGATTCCATTGGTGCAGAGTTCGAACCTACGACCTCAGGGATGAGAGTCGCACGCTGAAGCCACTAGGCCAACACTGCTCTTGAGGTTAATAATACCCAATACAAAAAGCATGAAAAATCTCCAAAAAACAACTTCACTAATACAAAACCGTTACAAAATTGTCATCAATAGAATAAAATGCAATGTCAACCCTCAAATAAACACTATCGAATAAAAATCATCGTGTCATCTGTCGATACGTGTTTACTTATCCATTGTGGAGGACTATTACGAGGTTATTACGGTGAAGAGCGCTAGAGAGATGCCTGTAGCGATTTGTAATCGTTTTCGCTTCGGGCGACGTTTTCGGAATAGGGTCGCGGGTGCGTTTTGTAAATAGAAGCTAAGATTGAGGTCGCTGACCTTCTAAGATAATTTTGTTAATTTAAAAAGCTTTGATTAAACATCCTTAATTATATTTTCGCTGTATGGAGTATGTAGTACATAAACAATTAAACAGCCACAAAAATGTGCCCCATTAAAAAAATATAAAAATAAAATAATCTTGTATCTTTCCTCGCTCAACGTATAAGAATAGCAAACAAGACAGCGAGGAAATGCTCCCAGCATTAAAGGTACACTGCCACAGGGACCAAACCTTTGATTTTTTTACTAATTTATAGTTATTAGTATGACTATGTAGGTTGAGAATATTGTAAATAATGTATATTTGTATATATTTTTTATATGTATCTGTCTAAAAAATATTAAATCGGAAATTTTGTATAAATTTTACACGTTTTTAATTTAACCCTTATCAAGTATCTTCCGCTTATTAGGAATATTTGCGCAATTAAAAGTGTAAATATCCGACGCAAATGGAAAAATATCGACAAGTGGGGGGTCAGATAAGGGACGGAGATAGGGCGCCCCGGAGTGACCCCGTTTGATCCCAGCTCAAGATTGCGTTTCAAGTGGCCACCGTCTATTCAGCTACTGAAATGCGATTTTTTACCAATTTATTTGCAATAATTGTTTTGTTATAGAAACATTTTGATTCGAATATTTATAATTGGTTTTATCGTAGTAGTACTGTACTTCATTATTTGATTTAGTCGGTTACTGTAACAGGCTACACAAACGCGTCTATACTAAGAATTTCGACACTTTGTTACCTACGCATCCTTAGGTTTCATCGACATTTTATACGCAGAGATAAAGGCCCTTACAGGTTAAGACATCACCCAGGCGCAAAGGCTTGCCGAAGACAGGGAAAAGTGGAGGAAGTTGTACGGCGACACTAACACGACTTTCAGTAGTTATTGTACTACAATTTATTTATTACCAATTTGTCTGCAATAATTGTTTTTATTATTATATTATTATAAAATGCTAATAAGTACTGTAGGTTCATTATGGCCTGTTTCTGTTTTTTTATTAATAATGAAATATACAATACAAGAACCTTTATATGTAACAATACATGAACTTTAGCCGTAATTGTAAGATTTACACAAAATGAAACTAATGTATTAGTAGTACTAAAAAGTTTGTTTGCAACAATTGTTTTGCTTATTATTATTATTATTAATTAAATCTAGTTGCATGCTATACAAATAAAGCTTTAGCCATAATTTTTGTATTAACGCATTATTGTAGTGATACATGTAAAAAATAAGACCTAGAGTCTAGACAGATAAGAGAAATTTCTCTTGTTTCTCTCTCTTCTTTGAATTTGTATTACTTTAGTTTATATAAATATACTTTTGGTAAGTGTTCTCAAAGCAAACAAACCCTCTATATGGGATACCAAGTTGTTTTCAATCCTGGATTTGATTGCCGATAAAATCACTGCCTACTGAGCTATAAAAATAGAATACATTTCATTGACATAAAATAACCTTTTACGCTGTCGGTTTATATGTAGTATGCGATCTTTGCGGGATACCTCTTTAATTAGGAGTCCCGCCGTTTGCCTTTTTATAAGCCCTAAGAAACCCTTGCCGTAATTGGCACGATAAGAATACGAAGGGTGTGTGGGAAAATGCCCTTTGCAGTTGCCAACCGATTAATCGAGTTTTCATTTGGAATTACATACATCCCATAATCGAATTGATAACCTTTGAATAGATTCTTAAATTCGATACGAACAAGTGTTTTACTTGCATAGTTTAAATTTGGAATGTGGTTTCATTCATCAACAGTTACAACAATACATAATTGTATGTAAACTGATACGTAATTTAATTACATACTTGAAACAAACTGAATGGGAAAAGGAAAAAATTTTTTTTTTTATATCTCTCATATCTTTTATTTAATTTTTTTTTCTTTGATTATTGTTATTTTGTGTGTTTATGTGTGTGTGTGTTTTTGTTTGTAATAAATTATATGTCTATGTCTAAATATTTTATAGTTTTAAATGTGTACGGCCATTTCTAAAGTCTGTCAAAAATTGGTTTATTCCAGGATTTCCGGGAAACAATGATAGGTAGACTCAAAAAGTTTTATTTCAAAGAAAGATATATGTATATAATACCGAACTTTTACTAGCTTTAAGAGCTGCATCATTTATTTATGTATAATTCTTAATACAAGACAAATCCATACAATAATATCTTGTGACAAAACGCCGAAAAGAAGCCCGTGCGCCAGTAAGAATCTTGCGCCGCTATAATTAGATCAACATAATAGGATATACAAACTTAATTGGATATAACTAAGGCTACAAAAAGCTCCTTTAAACTCGTCCAACAAATATTAGGGGCCAAAGGGCGCAAAATTCATTTTCTAGATCTTACTGGCGTCGCCGCGGGGTTACCAATTACCACAAAATAATGTTTTATTTTGATTTTTATTTAGGGGCGGTCGTGGGACAGCCCTGAAAGGCATAAACGGTATTAAAATTCTAGTTGTTTGATTGACGTCTTTATTTTATTGTTCGCGATTGACTTTTGGCGTTTTGTTTTCGTATTTTTTTTGTATTGTCGTGTAAAGGAAATACCTTGACATTTACGAAGTGTTTATTACAAGATACAGTACTTTATTAGAAGAGTAAAGTTGTCGATATATTATATGTTATAAAACCACAAATTTCCTTTAATTCGGCACCTTGGAGAAAGAATTTTAAATTTGAATTTCAATACAGTAGCTTCAACAATTAAGCTCTCCAATTGGATTTAACAAAATCGAGGGTTGAGGGCAAATACTTAACGACAGCGATAAAATCGCAATCAAGCAACTCCGTTGAAATTAGGCACCCCACGCGGCACCCAGTATATTCCCACCTAGCACGCTGGGCACACGTCCATTCATACAAAAACAATACTATGGGAATGTAGTTCCTGTATTGATTAAGTCGAGAAATCTCGAACGCGATTGTTCCGGCATTGTATGCTACCTCAGCAGGCATTATGGGAATTCTGTCAATTTGGCGTGTCTCGAGAATTTGACCTCATCTTAGACAATCGATTCAAGGTATTGTTAATAACAATGGGTTTTGTTAATTCATTTATTCGGTGTTTAATTGTGATACGAATTTCATATTTGTAATAGGATTTTATCGGATTACAATTTTTGACTATTGTGATTCATTACTTTAAGATGTAAGCTTTGATGTGTTAGGGAATAATAAACTATAATTCTTTAAATTTTTGAAGTGAAACTTCTTTAGGCGCACGAGGATAAATTTTTTACGGTACGTCACGAAGATGTGCAGAGTTTTTGTCGAAGAAAAGGGAGGGAGCTATTGAGACCGATTGAGAGAGAGAGTGAGAAGGGCGAAATACCTTAAAGAAATTCTATTTTTAAAATTAAAATTTCGTAAAGAAAATTTATGAAATATTAGTATTTTATAATTTATTGAAATCTCAAATGACGAATTGTAAATTAAAACGCCACGTGTTTTTATTATCGTAGAAATAAATTAAAAAAATTAAATTTATAATTTGTATAAATTTTTGACACTAATTATTAAAAGTGTCAAAAGTTTATACAAATTTTAAAGACAATTAAATTCCAAACCTATCTTCCTTTTTCCCTCCCTCTAAGTCTCGGAATTCTAAAGTTTTACATGTGTATAAATATGAACATTACTTAAAAATTTGTTTGCCAAAGAAGTTTCACTTTTGACATGTGTACTTTGTACGCACGCACTTTTTTATTATTATCCACGTCTATTATAGAATTCACGTCTAAACTAAAATCCATAAAACAGTTTAATATGGACCTATTACTAAGACATTATTAGTAAACGAATAGGAAAAAGTGTGAGCCGATTCCGGTTCTAGACGCATTTATTAGCGTCATAAACTTCTTAAACTTTATACGCACCTCCCAAGTATTTTAGAGACACAGCCGTTGGAGACCTGCAGTATCCGGCTGATGTCGCAGGGCCTCGCACCTGAGTGCGCTAACTCCACGATCTTCTGCCGCGTGGAGTCAGGTAGCGGTCTACCGTTGACGTAGACCCCTCCAAGCTGGTTGATGCCGCTGTGTCCGGCTGAAGAACAGCCGAATAGCCCACCACCACCCATAGCTGCGCTATGCATCAGCTCATCTGTAAAAACAATGGAGGTATAGTCTCATCATAACATACCATGTATGGTACAAAGCAACAGGAATATTTTAGATTTAATATGGAATATTTTGTCATATCTTTAATATTGTTTTGAAAATAAAAAGGTATGAAACAATGTTGTATTAACAACAAATCAAAACTGTCTTTTTTTTTCTCTCAAACATCACACATGCTACAATGAAATACTTAGAAAATATGTTATAAAAACTTTATACATGTAAAAATGACTTGAAAACTTAAAAAGGCGCAGCGCTAACCAGATCCATCATCCATGTTCCAGATTTTTCCTTACAATCGAGTAACCCGCAATATCACGTAGGTAACTTAATAGGGAACTCTTTGTATTGAAGAAGTGGCATGGGTCCGTCAAGCATCCGCGAATATACATTATAAATACATAATTATCTAGGAATAAAGAAAATAATTATTATATTATAATTATTAACAACGTTTCTAAAACGACTCGGCAAAAGTTGCTGAAAATGTCCGCCGAGTCATTTTACATCACAATTTTATTGTAAATTATAAATTGTTTAAAGTTGAGAGGTTTAATTTTATGTAACCTATTCTCCTTATCATTAGAGACTTTAGATCACAGATAACGATTAAAGTTAAATCAAGGTTACAAATTCGACTACCTTGCCATTAAACGTGATTGTAAAGTGCGTATCAGACGATGTCAATTTTTAAAAGTATAGCTTATTAAACTATTTCATTTTAATAGTCGTTACGTAGAGTGTATATGTGTGGTTATTTGCCTCTTATAAACGAAATGTCTTTTATAGTTAAAAAAAAATGATACCAAATTTGGTCCTTTAATAAATTGCAGGTGCCGAGTTTATTGTTACCAAACAATATCACTTCAAATCACACATTCTTAGCGTTTTTCAATTCAATTATTCTATACTTTTGGCGAATGCAATTTTCTCAAGTGGCTCGATCGAAAAGTTTGAGTAGGTGTAAAAAATCACCATTATACCTGTGCATCCCGAGGGTTATTTAAAAAATTTTAACCCGTTGAAAAAAATAATCCGCTTTGCAAATCTAAAAAAGACTCTTAAGGAACCGCAAATTATTATCTAATCTTCTATCCAAGCTTCCATTGTATCTATAACCGTTACGAATTGAAAAGGAATTTTATATATTTTTTAAGATTTTCATTGTTGGCGAATATCCATAGAACGCCATCCAAAATTAAAAAAGGTTTTGGCATATAGGTTCCATATTGAAAAAGATTTACTACTATATTTGGGGATGGATGCGCCGTGGGGATCTTTGTAATCTTGAGATATATTCGTAATACAGCTTAAGGACCGATCTGGTCGCAAAACTCCAAAAAAGTATATTGTTTCTTTCCATTTTTCGTCATCGTTTCTTGAAGTAGGGCGAATTGAAAAATATATGGTGGAGTTGAGAAGTTTATGAAAGATCGATACACGATTTAAATAACTTCGCTTGATGAAAAAAATTTACATAGACAATTTTTGACACTTTGAATTTATTTTATGAGTAAAATGTATATAGAACATGATTTTGAAATTTACGCGATATATTTTATCGCATGCCAAGTGTCGCGAGTTATCCATTTCAGGAAAAAAAAAATTTAACAACATTAATTTAATGTTTAACATAACTAATTGTTATTACGGACCGGCGCGCCTCAGTGCTCCAGCTCTCCACTGCGCCCCGCAGTCCACCCCGAGACACTGACACAGCAATTCGTGCTGGGATAGGGCCTTAAATATAAATCTGTAAAACTTTATAACGAGATTCTAAATAGTTAACCAGTCACGATAAGAAACTAGGATCAGAAAACTAAAAGAAACGCTTAAAAAGGCATCAATTAAGTTCCTAAATAGCCATTACATATTATAACTTAAATTGCATATAAAATTTCAGCACAATGTCAGCAAAAAGCTAATTTCAGTTTTCAAACATGTGGTTGGCAGTTGTGGTCCAAATTGCAGACGTAAGCGTGTTTTCACACCAATACTCTTGAATAGAATTACCGATCAAACGTCTAACAGATAATTCGTTTTACCCCTTATGCCTGGCGGTAAAAAGTGAACAATTGAATGCAATTTGTGGGCGAATTTGGGGCTGGGACTTGATTAAGTCATGGGTGGGAGTTAGTGAAAGGGCCAAAACAATTGGGTTCTGTGGTTCTGTTCATTTGTTTCTTTGATTTCGGCTTGATGTAGTTTTTCTAGTTTAAATCGTATACGTTCGTCTTGGGAATATTTAACGTATATATTTAATAAGATTATTTTGGAATCATAAAAGCAGTGTTGGCCTAGTGGCTTCAGTATGCGACTCTCATCCCTGAGTCACAGGTTCGTACCACGACTGTGCACCAATGGACTTTCTTCTTATGTGCGCATTTAACATTCACTCGCACGTTGAAGAAAAACATCGTGAGGAAACCGGCTTGCCTTACACCCAAAAAATCGACGGCGTGTGTCAGGCACAGGAGGCTGATCACCTACTTGCCTATAAGATTGACGAATGATCATGAAACAAATACAGAAAACTAAGGTCCAGATCTAAAAAGGTTGTAGCGCCATTCAAGTATCGGATGTCATATTAATAACCAATCCTTGTAATAGATTATATTAAAGCAAATATCATTAATAATAGGCCAAAATAATATCTCAATACAACACGTGTTACAACTATAATTACGATAAACTAATTCTCAGTACAATACCCCCTCAATATTAATTATAGCTTTCGCCAATTAAGAGTGATTTTCGCGCCGAAACTCGTTATAAATAACACCTCTTGGCGTACCTTTCGTCAAACGTCAACGACTGCGCATGCACTAACAAGCAACGACTGTTAAAAGAACAATGGACAATCGCAGGGGTAACGAATAACTACTGGTTATGTAATGGGCGTCGGCGTTAATTAATGTTAATATATCAGGGTTCTATACTACTACAAAAATAATTGCATTTTAAATATCCAAGACAAACTAGGTATCCAATTTATAAATAAATAAATCAGTGGCGCTACCTTTTTTAGGTCTTAGATTTCTGTATTTGGTCGGCCTCCTGTGTCTGACACACGCCGTCGAACTTTTGGGTCTAAGGCAATCCGGTTTCCTCACAATGTTTTTCTTCACCATTCGAGCGAATGTTAAATAAATACATAGAAATAAATTTTGGTGCACAGCCGGGGAACGAACTTACGACATCAGGGATTAGAGTCGCACACTGAAGCCACTAGGCCATTACAGAAATGGTAAAAACTTTTTCGTGCATTAATTTACTTTCAATTAAATGTTATACATTTTGAAGTAACGTAATTTCGTCCATACCTTTGTATACAAGGAAATCACGTTGAATCTTTCAAGAAACTTAATTAATATAAAGATGTAGGTTGTGTTCTTTTAATGTATTTAATCGTTTCTTTTAAATGTCGTATCAGTTAACAAGACAATATAATTACAAGTGATTGGGAACAAAGACTTGTTAAATATCAATTAAAACTTAAAGGTCATCGCTTAATCCTTTAGCGTATTAACGATTTTTATCTGTAGACAAGCAAATATGAATCAAGAAATTTTTTTAAGATATTTGCTTATTATCTTATTATTTAAATAATTTTTAAATATAGTTCCCTCTTTAATACATATTTAAATATGTAGAAAATATATAAATAAATAAATGCTCACAATCTACGTGATTAAATTGAAACGTAATGTCTTCAACGAATAAGTATCGCAATATAGCGAGGAAATGCTGCCAGCGTTAAAGGTACATTGCCACGGGGACCAAACTTTTTAAATTTGTTTTTTTTTTTCAATTTATTCATTATTTTTATTATTACTATGTTAAAAATATTGTAAATACTGTATATTTGTGTGTTGGAAATGAATAGCTATATCATTTATTTGAAACATATAATGAAAATTTTGCTATTTAATATCAATTTGCTAAACCTAACCTGACCTAAGTTAGTTTAAGATAAATACTAAATAAGAGTTGAAATCGCTACTAAGCCCGCTTGCGCTCAACACGTGCACCAAATAGCCACGAGTGTCGCGAATGCGCGTGTCGTGAGGGAACATTTTAATTTCAGAGGTGCAATTTATTCGAGCGATTTATTTTTAATCCCCGTTTTTATGGCCGCGACTATAAATTTATGTGTAGTTGTAGTTGATTTTTTATATTAAGCTCACAATGGCCTCTGCGCTCTGAAATTTGTGGAGTCGATGTTTCGCTGAAAGTAGTATATCATCCAAATATTTGAGGGATATAGAGAAAACCATATCATTTGAGTTCTATTTTATAGTATTTTTTTATATGTGGCGATGCATATTCTGGTTCTGACCAGTACCCTTGAACCCTAATTAACTAAATAATTGCTTATTTAGTGTCTGGGTTATGCGCTGATTTTCCTCTTGAATTTATTTCCACTTCTTCTCTTCCGTTCTACGCCCTCGATTTGAGAACTGGGCGTAAATGTAAAATTAGAAGCAATTCATATATATTTCTTTTTTGACGTTCATAAGTGTACATTATATGAATAAATGATTTTGAATTTTAATTAAATTGTATAATCCTTACAAATTAAAATTTCCGAAAATTACTGGGCTCGTAAAATGTTAGACTAATCACCATCCAATTCACACAAAAATAATTAAAAATAATATTTTTATGGCCAAAAAATTCAATTAAACGATACTTTTTAGAGTTACAAATATTACCGATTCAAACTAATCCACTAACAAATAGGCTTATATACTAACATTAATCAAATACATAGTAAATACATAAGGGTCGTCCCTGTGTTTGACATCACACCAGGTGTCAGAGGCAGACGACCCCCACTTGAAACCCTTATTATTATTATTTTGTATCTGTTTTTGAATTATCTATGGGGGAATTAATTGTGAAGATAAACGCCATTTTGAATGCAACCATCCTTTTTGAACCGTTTTAATGCTTTATT